CGTCTTCCCTATCTGTTAATTCACTTTTTAAACTTGAATGTATAATAATTCTGAGAAATTCGGCTTTTATAGATTGATAAAATGAAAAAGATTAATGTTATTTGGAAAATTGTGGGATAATATGAGTCTTAATATATATGATATATTTGAGTATATAAGTAATAATGGGGAGTATTTGATAATTTGGGATTCTGATCTAATGAAATATAAATAAAAAAACATTAAGGATTGTGAATATGATAAAATAAATATATTTAAAGTTTATTTAATATTCATAATAATTTTATATCAGGAAGTTTAGTGAAATTTTTAATTAGGGGACTTTACCAAGAATTGAATTTCTTAAAAGAAATGTCGAGGAGATTACAATAAAAAAAATCTTACCTTTTCTAATAATGACTTTACAAAATAGTCATCATTTATAATTCAGCGATTATTAAAACATTCATTATTTTTCAAAGTAAAAGATAGTGGCTATAATAATATTATTTTGATGTTAACAAATATTTCTTGAGAAGGATAGGTGAAAAAATAATTTCATTTTTTACTCCATATTCAAGACAATAATTAATAATTGATAAATTATAATTAAAATTTATTTGGTACAATTAAACCAATAGTTAAATTATATTATTAAACATTCATTTTCTGAAGATACAAAAAACCAATTGACACTTTAATTAGGAGGGTCTCAAATTGAGAGAAAATACTTAAAGCAATTTTAATTGCAGATCATTTCTTTTTCATTACCTAAATGTTTTAGTTAGTTAACAAATTAAATATTTTCATTATCTTCAAACAGGCTGTCCATTTGAATTCTATCCTTTTATTATCGAATAAAATGCACAACTTTATCATTACCCTCTCAATAAGTACTGGTGAGCATTATTTCTTAAATTTATTAAAACATTAACCATATTTTCAGCATTTTTTATTTAAAATAATAAAGAAAATCATTTTCTGAATTTGCTTGCTTTAATTCTTATAATTTTAATTGGAATCATTTGGATTACAATATGATTAGCTTTTTTTTCTGATTAACCTAAATTTTAAGGAAAATTTAACATTTATGCATAAGTTGATTATATACTTTAAATCTTATCCTTTATTTTTTGATAAACTATAGCATTAAAGAATTCCTATCATTGAAGTAAAACATGTATATTGGTATATATGGTTTATTACAATAAATCATCCAAATTTAGTAAGGGAATAATTACATCGTCCATTCAAATAATTTGATATAAAGAAGTGCATAAAGTAATATAAACTCTAAATCTTGATATATATTTGACTTTGAAAAATGGCAATATTGAAACAAGTGGGAGTTATAAGAATAAGAATTCATTGTTCACCTTAGCTTTTGCCATTACATTATCAATTTTATTTTTTAATTGTATTAACCATACAATTATACTATCTGAGCAAAATCGACCTTAATTTGTATTCAAATACTAATAGTAAATAATTGAATTACGATCTCAGTAAAGCGATACTCTATTTAATGCAAAAGTAACCCTAATCAGATTATTATTATATAGCCTTATGAAACCAATAACTTTTTTGTAATAATTTGTGAAAAAAAATTGATATGGTTTTAATAGATCAGGAAATTATTAGCTTATGAGCATGTTGAACAGTTTTCTANTATTTTTATCATTTCTTCCATTAAACAACTTAATTAATCTATATTCAAATCAAAAAATGCAATTAAATTTAATTTATGGTACTTATTTTAAATATCCGTTGTGATATCGAAAATCACAGCATTAATCATCATGTAATACCTAAGGTTTACTTATAGAAAATTTCAAAAGTTTATGGATCACCATTATTTTTATTTTCTAAAAACTAACAATTTTAGCTTATGTTGAAAAGTATAACTTATACATATGAGATTTGAAAATTTAAATGATCAAAATTAATAATATTTTTAATAATTAATTTAATTGGAAAAGAAAATGTAGATTAGATGTACCTAAGATGATCGTCAAGTAATCGGGTTATTTATGGAAAGTGCACGCTCAGTTTGAAGCACTTATTGTAATTTTTGCTTGCCACAATCAGTACTTTAACAAGTTAAGATCTATTTAACTGTTAAAAAAATGGATTTAGTAACGAATCATAGTGCTCAAAATGGTTCGTTGCTAAAATATGTTAAGAGTACCCTTGATCGTCTTCCCTATCTGTTAATTCACTTTTTAAACTTGAATGTATAATAATTCTGAGAAATTCGGCTTTTATAGATTGATAAAATGAAAAAGATTAATGTTATTTGGAAAATTGTGGGATAATATGAGTCTTAATATATATGATATATTTGAGTATATAAGTAATAATGGGGAGTATTTGATAATTTGGGATTCTGATCTAATGAAATATAAATAAAAAAACATTAAGGATTGTGAATATGATAAAATAAATATATTTAAAGTTTATTTAATATTCATAATAATTTTATATCAGGAAGTTTAGTGAAATTTTTAATTAGGGGACTTTACCAAGAATTGAATTTCTTAAAAGAAATGTCGAGGAGATTACAATAAAAAAAATCTTACCTTTTCTAATAATGACTTTACAAAATAGTCATCATTTATAATTCAGCGATTATTAAAACATTCATTATTTTTCAAAGTAAAAGATAGTGGCTATAATAATATTATTTTGATGTTAACAAATATTTCTTGAGAAGGATAGGTGAAAAAATAATTTCATTTTTTACTCCATATTCAAGACAATAATTAATAATTGATAAATTATAATTAAAATTTATTTGGTACAATTAAACCAATAGTTAAATTATATTATTAAACATTCATTTTCTGAAGATACAAAAAACCAATTGACACTTTAATTAGGAGGGTCTCAAATTGAGAGAAAATACTTAAAGCAATTTTAATTGCAGATCATTTCTTTTTCATTACCTAAATGTTTTAGTTAGTTAACAAATTAAATATTTTCATTATCTTCAAACAGGCTGTCCATTTGAATTCTATCCTTTTATTATCGAATAAAATGCACAACTTTATCATTACCCTCTCAATAAGTACTGGTGAGCATTATTTCTTAAATTTATTAAAACATTAACCATATTTTCAGCATTTTTTATTTAAAATAATAAAGAAAATCATTTTCTGAATTTGCTTGCTTTAATTCTTATAATTTTAATTGGAATCATTTGGATTACAATATGATTAGCTTTTTTTTCTGATTAACCTAAATTTTAAGGAAAATTTAACATTTATGCATAAGTTGATTATATACTTTAAATCTTATCCTTTATTTTTTGATAAACTATAGCATTAAAGAATTCCTATCATTGAAGTAAAACATGTATATTGGTATATATGGTTTATTACAATAAATCATCCAAATTTAGTAAGGGAATAATTACATCGTCCATTCAAATAATTTGATATAAAGAAGTGCATAAAGTAATATAAACTCTAAATCTTGATATATATTTGACTTTGAAAAATGGCAATATTGAAACAAGTGGGAGTTATAAGAATAAGAATTCATTGTTCACCTTAGCTTTTGCCATTACATTATCAATTTTATTTTTTAATTGTATTAACCATACGATTATACTCTCTGAGCAAAATCGACCTTAATTTGTATCCAAATACTAATAGTAAATAATTGAATTACGATCTCAGTAGAGCGATACTCTATTTAATGCAAAAGTAACCCTAATCAGATTATTATTATATAGCCTTATGAAACCAATAACTTTTTTGTAATAATTTGTGAAAAAAAATTGATATGGTTTTAATAGATCAGGAAATTATTAGCTTATGAGCATGTTGAACAGTTTTCTAATCACAAATTTTTTTTTATTTAAATATTATATAAAGTAAGAGAGGTGCATTTTCACAAAGAATACAGAGATTCTAATATTATTATAAATCTGAAACTATATTTGAATTAACATAGATAATAAAATCTATTGAGTAAACTTTAGAACTCTTTGATTAAACTTAAAAATGATATGTATTCTATTGTTTATTTATGGCTTTCAATATCTGTTATGAAAATTTTTTCTTCAAACAAGAAAAACATTAATCCCTTGCATGATAAGCATTTCAAAGTTGAGAAATAAATTATTGAAAAAATATTACACTACTAATTTAACTATATAAATTAAACTTCTGAAAATCAAGTCAGCTTACTGCATTATTAAAGAATGACTATCTTTTACTACTTAAATAAGATTAATACAAATATTTATAGAGAAATCTATAAACTCTATAAAAAAAAATGTTGAAAGTACCAATCAATTTGAAAATAATGGATATACACTCTCAAATAATGAATTTTATTAGTAAAAATTAAGATCTGTAATCTATTTATTCAAACTATTTTAACCTGAATAAATCGATGTGTAATTGATAATGAATTAATTTAATTACTTAAATAGTGATATCACGGTGATATTTACTTAAAATTTTTAATGTATTTAAAATAACTTAAATATTAAATATGTAATAATATTTAAGTTATTTATTATCAAGATATTAGATTGTCAAAAAAATTATTAGAGAGGGGACAAATAGTAATTTAACATTTATTTAAACTTTTGTTGTTTGATAAGGTTTAATGATAAAAATATTAGATAGTATTTTATAATTTATTTAATTTTCTTATGTAGTTTTCAGATTTCCGAATAAATTATTTTTCATCTTTAATTAATTCATAGGGAACAGTTTGTAAATGAAAAAAATCCAAAATTAATTTGAAGGAGTTTATCTCTAATCAAAAAAGTTGCTCATTAAAATTATTATAAAGATTAAATGGAAATAGATTAAAGGTTTTATTTATTTTTAATTGCGCTTTTCTGAGTGATCTTATAATTTTTTTGAATTTAATAAGATTCAATATTTGATAATCTTACTTTTTTCAATAAATAAAGAATATTCTTCATATTATTCATTATAATCTATTACTCTTATTTAATTAAAGCAAACTAAGTTTATTTATTAAATAAAATTAATAATATGATGATTTTAATTTTTCTTCTTTGCTTGGATGCTTTAAAATCAATTGAAATTTAAACTTTAGACCCTTATTATCAAGTTGCTTATCAATCGGTAAAGATTGATGATGAGATTATTCAGCCAAACCAATTTTTTAGTTATGGTCTTTGGTCTCGATATAATCCTTTAAGTGCTATATCTTAAGTTGGTCCTGTTGGAATTTTTGGAAGTAATTGCTACTAATTACTGAATATAATTGATAAGGTAGATGGTGGAATAACTTTTATGTATTTCGATTGTTTACATAATGAGAAATATCAAATAACAAAAGAAATCAAATTTGTTAATGATAATGGAGAATAGAAAGTTTATGAAACTCAGATTGAAGCATAAGAATATGAAAGCTTTTGGTATTTTCTTGAAATAATCTAATGGCCAATTAAAAAAAGATTTGAAATTTTTATAATATCCCAAAAAGAATAAAAATTTTTTATAATGGATTAAATGAAATCCCCATTTAAGGGAAAGGATTTACAATTAACTTTTGGAGGAAGCTTGATTGTAAGTAAATCGAAAATAGAATCAGTGTTAATCAATCAGAAATTCTCATACTTTCCTGGAAAAATTATCATGTAATAGTTTAAGATTCTGGAAGAATTAAGTATTGATGATTGGTTTGAATATGCAAAAAGTGTTTTTGAAGAGTATGAAACTTGTAATTGCTCGCCTAATCAAGAATTTTAAATTCCAGATTTAAACATTAGCTCTATTTAAAAGGGAGAATTTGTTTCAGAAAATAAAAATTGCAATTCTTTTTTTATTTAAGGTTGGTTTAAAATTTAATAAATTATGGATAAAGACTATGTATATCTTTATCCATTTATAAAATTAGCAGGCAATTTTGAAAATCCAAATTTATCTAGTAATAATTTATCTCCTGTTTAAGTATTTTATAAATTGTCCAATATTTAACATTAAATTCTAATTACTACATATAGTTTCACTTTTCCATCAGTAACAATAGATTTCTAAGCTAATCCTTTTTTAATTGAGAAAACTTTTGATATTGTAAACAGTANCAAACTATTTTAACCTGAATAAATCGATGTGTAATTGATAATGAATTAATTTAATTACTTAAATAGTGATATCACGGTGATATTTACTTAAAATTTTTAATGTATTTAAAATAACTTAAATATTAAATATGTAATAATATTTAAGTTATTTATTATCAAGATATTAGATTGTCAAAAAAATTATTAGAGAGGGGACAAATAGTAATTTAACATTTATTTAAACTTTTGTTGTTTGATAAGGTTTAATGATAAAAATATTAGATAGTATTTTATAATTTATTTAATTTTCTTATGTAGTTTTCAGATTTCCGAATAAATTATTTTTCATCTTTAATTAATTCATAGGGAACAGTTTGTAAATGAAAAAAATCCAAAATTAATTTGAAGGAGTTTATCTCTAATCAAAAAAGTTGCTCATTAAAATTATTATAAAGATTAAATGGAAATAGATTAAAGGTTTTATTTATTTTTAATTGCGCTTTTCTGAGTGATCTTATAATTTTTTTGAATTTAATAAGATTCAATATTTGATAATCTTACTTTTTTCAATAAATAAAGAATATTCTTCATATTATTCATTATAATCTATTACTCTTATTTAATTAAAGCAAACTAAGTTTATTTATTAAATAAAATTAATAATATGATGATTTTAATTTTTCTTCTTTGCTTGGATGCTTTAAAATCAATTGAAATTTAAACTTTAGACCCTTATTATCAAGTTGCTTATCAATCGGTAAAGATTGATGATGAGATTATTCAGCCAAACCAATTTTTTAGTTATGGTCTTTGGTCTCGATATAATCCTTTAAGTGCTATATCTTAAGTTGGTCCTGTTGGAATTTTTGGAAGTAATTGCTACTAATTACTGAATATAATTGATAAGGTAGATGGTGGAATAACTTTTATGTATTTCGATTGTTTACATAATGAGAAATATCAAATAACAAAAGAAATCAAATTTGTTAATGATAATGGAGAATAGAAAGTTTATGAAACTCAGATTGAAGCATAAGAATATGAAAGCTTTTGGTATTTTCTTGAAATAATCTAATGGCCAATTAAAAAAAGATTTGAAATTTTTATAATATCCCAAAAAGAATAAAAATTTTTTATAATGGATTAAATGAAATCCCCATTTAAGGGAAAGGATTTACAATTAACTTTTGGAGGAAGCTTGATTGTAAGTAAATCGAAAATAGAATCAGTGTTAATCAATCAGAAATTCTCATACTTTCCTGGAAAAATTATCATGTAATAGTTTAAGATTCTGGAAGAATTAAGTATTGATGATTGGTTTGAATATGCAAAAAGTGTTTTTGAAGAGTATGAAACTTGTAATTGCTCGCCTAATCAAGAATTTTAAATTCCAGATTTAAACATTAGCTCTATTTAAAAGGGAGAATTTGTTTCAGAAAATAAAAATTGCAATTCTTTTTTTATTTAAGGTTGGTTTAAAATTTAATAAATTATGGATAAAGACTATGTATATCTTTATCCATTTATAAAATTAGCAGGCAATTTTGAAAATCCAAATTTATCTAGTAATAATTTATCTCCTGTTTAAGTATTTTATAAATTGTCCAATATTTAACATTAAATTCTAATTACTACATATAGTTTCACTTTTCCATCAGTAACAATAGATTTCTAAGCTAATCCTTTTTTAATTGAGAAAACTTTTGATATTGTAAACAGTATTACATTATGGCATAAGATTTAGATTTAATTGGAAAATAGTTTAATGGATATCTAGATTAAATTCTATGATAACTATATGATTCATGAATATAATTAATAATTAGAAGTCCGTTAATTTTAAGAGAATTAATTTAAATTATAATTAGGAAATTATTAATAGCTTGAAACAAATCAGGTAAACTTATTGATACGAAACTTTGTTTTTTTTAATTGTAATTAATCTTTTTCTTAAAATAATTGCCATTATACTTGTTAGGAATGTGATGGACCAACAAAAGATGATTGTTTATCATGTTCCGAAGAAAGCAAGAGAATTTATTTACCTGAATATAAAGTATGTGTTTGTCCATTAGATACAATCGATAATTTAATTTGTATAGATTATGTTGTAGCATAGATGATGTTAATCGAAGGAACAATCGAAGGAACATTTATCAACTAAGAATGCCAATATGGCTATTATGAATTAGATGATGAATGCTAGAAATGGTATTTATAATTATAATTTAGTCCTTCAATTATCAATTAATATTTGATAACTTGTTTAGAATGCATCTATAATCCTAAATCCTTTAGTAAAAAGCCATATTGCGCAGATGTTTTATCTATTAGTTAAACAAGCTAAACAGAAAATGTTTACTGGTAATTGCCAGAATTATTACTTTTTGATGGCATTGATTAGAATAATTTTGCATGTGTAAATTGTGATAGCTTAATCGATAATGAATTAGAAAATATATATTTTGACTTCACATAAAAATCTTTATATTTTAGAAGCATATGTATAACAGAAGAATTTAGATGTTATTAAGTCAGTCATTTTGAATGTCCTGAATATCATTTATCAATAGCTGGTATTAAATGTTCCTCAAAAAAGGATGAATTTGAAAATTATTAAGGATAATTTAATCCATAATTTGATTATATTATTACTTTTAATTGTCAGTCTCCTAACTATATTACAAACCTTTACAAATGCAAATTATGCCCTATAAAAAACTGTATATATTGTTTTGAATACCAATAAGGAGATTCTTCCTTTAAAAGCACCTTGTATAAGGATTTTGAAAATTTTGAAATAGATTAAAGTGTGTCAATTGGTTGTGCGATGTGTGAATAAAATTATATATTTGATTTTACTATTGGCGAATGCATAAAATAATAATCAAAAATATAAACATGTTTGAGATCTTTCATAAATTTGAATGGATAGGAAATTTGCACACTTTCTTCCCTCAATGATTTTAGCATTTCACCTGAAATTATAAATTGCCAGAAATATTACTCTAATTGCTTGCAATGCGTCCTCACTCCCAAGACCAAAATACAATGTATACATTGTAGTTAAGGATATTTCAGTTCTTTGATAACTGGGGACTGTATTAAGAATTATTAACTGTATATTAATGAAAATACTTATTCTCATATTTTAACAGATGGATAAAGATCAGATACATGGGTTGTTATGATTTAAAGTTTTATGATGCAATTTTTACTATCTCAATATTATTATCCACATTCTCTTGATTCACCAAATATATATGAGCTTAAATGTAAAGATGGCTATTAATTTACTAAATTATAATCATGCCAAAAATATTGTAGTAATGATTGTTTAAATTGTTAACAAGATTATGAGAGATTTAATTGTATGTAATGCTCTTTGAATTACTACAAAAAACCTATAAGAGTTGAAAAAGATGGTCAATGTGTTAGTTGTTCTCACTTATGCCAATACTGTTAAGAAAGAGATGAGCAGGAAATATATGTATTATCTTATACTAAAATAGGCTGTTCAACCTAGTTTTGTCTTAACAAATGAAAATGCTAAATATACAATGAAATGTATTAAACCACTTGAAGATCCTAAAATATTTATAAATCCTTACACATCTATTGTTAAATATTGTTTGAATGAAAGTTGTTAAAATCATTTGTCATACATATTCTATTTTAGTAATTGTATTTTCAATAGATATGTAGCTGGAGGTTATGAAGAAGAAATAAATTTTCAATATTCTAATCTAATTGGGGTTGATGAAATGACAATTGAATTTATAATCAACATTTAATTTCAAGAAAAGTGTCAGTTTCACAAACCTCTCCAAATTCTAACCTAATTAAAGAAATAAATATTTTCTCTTTAAAAAATTAATTTGAATCTCTTCTCTATTTATGAAAATATTTATTATACAACAGAAATTACTGAAATAATTAATTTTGATTCAATAATAATCTAAAATGTGAGCATAAGTTTGTAAGAAGATGGTTTCATATTGAGAAATAATAACAATAAAGTCGAAATAACATTAAAAAATATAATTTTAACTAAAAGCAATATTATTGAGAAGACAGTGTTTTAAAGTTAAGTATTTGGGAATATTTAGATTGATAATTTTAATATAGAAGATTCTATAATTTAGAACTCTTTCTTTTTCGATTATTAGAACTCATAAAGTAAAATATTTTTGAAAATAAAAAAATTATCATTTAGGAATTGCTAATTAAGAAACTCAACATTATTTTAAATAAATGACAATTAAATATAGATAGACATTTAAGATATTATTATTGAAAACTGTTTGATTGTAGATTCCTCATTTTTTTCTTTCTAAACAAATTAAATCAATCTTAATAAGGTCATATTGTAAGGTGTTGAAATACTAGGATGTAATTTTTCTTATTCATATTTTATCAAGATTTATAATGGATTTTCAATAATTGCAAGTAATCTATACTTTCATGATAATTAGCTATAGAACTCAATATTGATAGCATTTAATGATAATATAGAATTAATTTAAGTAAAAACAAATAAGAACATTCTTATCAAATCTTCAATTATCTCTACATTGCAAATAGTAAATTAATAAAAAGTTTTGTGTATTATTAATGATTTTGAAGATAGTTAGACTAATTTTTAAGAATCAAGCATGATTATTATTTATCCTAATCTTTAAATTAATAATTATATAGTAAATTTAAAAAACATAAAAGTTTAAGGAAATCAAATAGTTGGTACAAAAGATTAATAAATATTTTTATTTAAATTTCATTGTCATAATTTATTTATAGAAAATACTTCATTCTAAGATTTGAATAATTTAGTTATTTTCTATCTTTTTGAGATTATGTAGATAGTTTTAGAAAATGTAAGATTTGTAAATTCAAAATAATAATATAAAGTCCCTTTATCTTAAGAATGTACTTAATCTATATACATCAAGAATTAACTCTTAAAATTAGCTGGTTTCTAATTTTTGTAATTGGAAAATATTTACATTATAAATGTATTTTCTAATAACTACTCACTAATGGATATAATATTTAGTAACTATTTTATTATAGACTAAATTGGATAAGTGTATTTTAAAAATATCTAATTTAAAGAAAATATTTTATTAAAGAATTAATAAGCAGTGTCATTGTCCTTGCTTAGTCTATATTCATAACATAATTTAAAAATTAAATTAAGTGAGATTTTATTTATTTAAAATATAATTCATTAATAAATTGACGATTCTACAGAGGAATAAACTAGTTTATTATATATAAATTCATTAAACAGCATTATTTAAATTGATAATTTATATTGCTCTCATAATGCTCTAACAAATTCAACTAATTCATATCTTAGTCTTAGTGCTAATTTAATTGAGATTAAAAATTTTAATATTTTTAATTAAAATATATTATCATAAAATCAATGGTAACAATTTTATGAATTTGTACTAGATGATTAATTTAACCAGGAAGAAATAAATACCATAATTCAGTCAACCCTTAAAATTTTAAATCAAGGAATATTGATTATAGCTTCTAATTTCAGTTGTACAAACTGTCAATTTTAAGATATTCTTACTGTTAAAAGTTCAATTTTTGAGATTAGAACAAAAGGATAAGGATTAATTATTCTCAATAACCTTTAGATTAATTCCATAATGACTAATTTAAGAAAGAGTGAAAGTTCCGGTTGTATAACTATAGTTTCTACAAATAGTTTTTTAAATCTTTAATTAGAAAGAATAACATTTAAAAACATTTTCAATAGAATGAATCCTTCATTATTTACTATTTCACCATCTTCACACTCGAATGTTATTAAATTAAATAATATTATTATTGAAAATTGCCTATCCTTAGTGAATACGATACTTTTCCTTAAAGTTCAAAATGAAGCTATGTAATCAAGCTTGGTAAGTATTAATGATTTAACAATTTTTTAAAGTGAAGAATAGTGGCTAAAACTATTTTCTAAAATTGGTGTGATATCAAAGTCTGAAATGAATATTATAAAGAGTGAAAATAATGGACTAATCTTAATTGAAAATTGCAAAGTTGAAATTAATAATTTTAATTTTGAAGGAATTTCGATTTCATCAATATTAACTATTTTAAATACAAATTACATTAAAATTTCTGATTGTAAGATAACTAATGTATAATAATTATATTCATTTGATCTAATACATTTAACTTAAGCAACAATTTCATAATCTATTATTTTGATCTAATAACTAAAAATAATTTAGAGTTCAATATATGATATCAAATAAGACAAAATACCTATTTTTTAAGATTATAATTATTAAATAATTGGATGTGATATGTGGAAAAACTCTTCTATTTAGGAATAAATCGTATTTTCTGAGATTAAATCTTAATTTTAATCTTCTGATTTTCAATTTAATTAGATGATTTATGTGAATAGCAAATCAGAATTAAGCTCTATTATCTTTTACTAAATAGACTTAATTGATAATAATGAATCATAATATTCTAAAGGAATAATCACTTTTGTTATTGAAAAATTCAAGAAAATCTATTTAGATAATATAATTTGTTATTAAAATAGCGTGAAATAAAATGGTTGTATTAATTTATTGAATTCTAATTTTATCAATTCGACAATTAGAATCAAAGATTCTTATTTCATAAAGAATACTGGTAGCCTTGGAGCAGCAATTTAAATTGCTAATGTTAGACTAAATATGAAAAATTGCAAAATAATTTAAAATTATGCTAGTGAATTTGGAGGAGGAATGCACTTATAATTAAAGGATAACTACTTTTAAATTAAATCAACCATCATTACTAATAACACAGCTTAAGATGGAGGGGGAATCTATTTCAAAGATGCCGGAAAATTGACTCTTACTAATTTTATTTAATCTTTTTTACTATTCAATCAGGCATTTTAGTTTGGAAATAACCTTATTGAATCTCCTCATCATTTGGCATTAATAATAAATAATAAGGAAATGAAATCAAGATAGTAAGTTATCAATAAGATTATGATTGAATATTTAATTCTTAAATAGTATAAAATTATTGAATAAGGAACCCCTCTAATTAAAAATTTTTTAATGATCCCAAGTAATTAAGTTATTCTTACTTATAAAATCTATGAGCCTTAAAGCTTGTAATATTTTTCATATATATCAAATCTTGGACTAATTTTAAAAAATAGTCTAAATGAAAAACTTAAGAATTATTTAAATTCTACTTGCACTCTGATTACTAAAGTAATTGATGGAGAGAACTTAAATTAGGAAGGAAAATTGAATGAATAAAAAAATTTGCAATATGACATTTAAGAAGATTACTACGATTTAGGCTCTTACTCTTTCACTTTTGATCCTTACAATGAAGAATAAAAAAGGTTATAAATTTAAATCAATTGTTTCTCAGATTAGGTATAAAAAATCTTTGGATATGTTATGTTAGCAAAAAGCTTAAAATGCTAGCTTGGAGAATTTTATGTGAATTCTGGTTGTTAGATTTGTTAATCAAGTTAAGGTTTTTATTCGGTTGTATATGATGCACCAAAGTGTTCTATTTTTGATAAAACCAAATTTAAGAATATAACAGAAAATAATATTGAATTATTGGAAGGTTTTTGGAGACCAGATTATTTGTCTGATTTAATAGAGTAATGCTTTAAAAATTTGAGATTCTGTAAGGGTGGATGGGGATATGGTGATTTAATCTGCTCTCAAGGACGAATTGGAGCTTTATGTGAAGAATGTGATATCTATAATATTAGAGGAGATGGGAAATATTTTAAAAATTAATAGGACTCAGAATGTATATCTTGTTTTGGTGTTTCGGATAGTATAATTCCCTTTATTGCATCTTCAATTTGGTAATTTCTTAATTGAATATTTAGGTCATTTTTATCAATCATCATAACATTAAGAAGTATTGAAGAGTCTAATCAATTATTTAAATCTTTAGTATTAATATAAAAATATGGAAAAATACTATTTAAGTTAAATTAAGGTATATATCATTAATTATTATAAGGACATGAAAGTTTTTTTATTAAAATGTTGTTAAATTATTTGTGGATTTTCTCTGCTATCTTTACTTTTAATATATAGTTTTCTTTTTCATTCACTTTTATTGATTCAGCTAGTAATACTTCCTAGTCAATGACGAATAATTTAGATTGTTATTTATCAGAAAGTTAATCTATAAAATTGATTTATACTAAAATAATTACTATGCTATCCCTAATGTCTACTTAATTTATCCTTGTTACTATGGGATTTCTCATTTACTTTAAGCATAAAAAATTAAATTTATCCTTTTTTTATTTTGATACTATATCTAATAGTTTGCTATATTTGTATGTATCAAATTATGGTGGATTAATTAAAATGTATTTAATTTTTAAGAATATTAGGTATTTTTCTATTCTTTCAAGAAGGGAAATATCAAATCAAAACTACATTTAAGGTGATGTTTCATTACTTTTTGGAACAAGAGAACATTTAATTTGGATGTTTTTCTTCGTTATACCAGGAATAGCATTTTTTTGCTTGATCATTCCTCTTTCACTTTATATTTTAATGTATGTTAAAAGACATGATCTTGAAACTATTAAAATTAGAAAAAATTTTTGTTATCTTATTAATGAATATGAAAATAAAACTTACTTTTGGGAAATAATTAAATTAATTAAAAAGACTATTATGATCTTAATATTAACATATTTTGAAACTCATATCCTACTAAAAGCTTCGTTATTGGGGTTATGTCTACTATTTTACTAATTAATAGCGGTGAAAAATAAGCCATTCAACCTATAGAATTTAAATAATTTGGATTTATTTTCAGGTTAGATTTGTTCTATTGCAATATTCCTAGCTGCTGCTAAATATGTATCAGAATAAGAAAATAATTAATTTTCTTCAAAATCACTTCAGACATTTATAGTCCTTCTTTGTATTAGACTTTGCTATCCATTCATTTCAAATATATCTGGTGTTTACTTTAAAAATTATTATTTTCTTATAATCAATAAATCATATTAAATTATGTAAAAGATATCAAAGAAATCCAGAATAACAACAAAATTATCAATAAATTTATAGATGCATAGTTCTAAAAAGAAGAGATAAAAANTTTCGGATAGTATAATTCCCTTTATTGCATCTTCAATTTGGTAATTTCTTAATTGAATATTTAGGTCATTTTTATCAATCATCATAACATTAAGAAGTATTGAAGAGTCTAATCAATTATTTAAATCTTTAGTATTAATATAAAAATATGGAAAAATACTATTTAAGTTAAATTAAGGTATATATCATTAATTATTATAAGGACATGAAAGTTTTTTTATTAAAATGTTGTTAAATTATTTGTGGATTTTCTCTGCTATCTTTACTTTTAATATATAGTTTTCTTTTTCATTCACTTTTATTGATTCAGCTAGTAATACTTCCTAGTCAATGACGAATAATTTAGATTGTTATTTATCAGAAAGTTAATCTATAAAATTGATTTATACTAAAATAATTACTATGCTATCCCTAATGTCTACTTAATTTATCCTTGTTACTATGGGATTTCTCATTTACTTTAAGCATAAAAAATTAAATTTATCCTTTTTTTATTTTGATACTATATCTAATAGTTTGCTATATTTGTATGTATCAAATTATGGTGGATTAATTAAAATGTATTTAATTTTTAAGAATATTAGGTATTTTTCTATTCTTTCAAGAAGGGAAATATCAAATCAAAACTACATTTAAGGTGATGTTTCATTACTTTTTGGAACAAGAGAACATTTAATTTGGATGTTTTTCTTCGTTATACCAGGAATAGCATTTTTTTGCTTGATCATTCCTCTTTCACTTTATATTTTAATGTATGTTAAAAGACATGATCTTGAAACTATTAAAATTAGAAAAAATTTTTGTTATCTTATTAATGAATATGAAAATAAAACTTACTTTTGGGAAATAATTAAATTAATTAAAAAGACTATTATGATCTTAATATTAACATATTTTGAAACTCATATCCTACTAAAAGCTTCGTTATTGGGGTTATGTCTACTATTTTACTAATTAATAGCGGTGAAAAATAAGCCATTCAACCTATAGAATTTAAATAATTTGGATTTATTTTCAGGTTAGATTTGTTCTATTGCAATATTCCTAGCTGCTGCTAAATATGTATCAGAATAAGAAAATAATTAATTTTCTTCAAAATCACTTCAGACATTTATAGTCCTTCTTTGTATTAGACTTTGCTATCCATTCATTTCAAATATATCTGGTGTTTACTTTAAAAATTATTATTTTCTTATAATCAATAAATCATATTAAATTATGTAAAAGATATCAAAGAAATCCAGAATAACAACAAAATTATCAATAAATTTATAGATGCATAGTTCTAAAAAGAAGAGATAAAAAGAATTAATCAAAAAATTAAGATAATACCTTATGAGAGTTTCAAAATCCCAACTTTAAAATAATAAGTATTATCTTTTATAATATAGAATAATGTTATCTACAATAAGGCTCAATCCAGATGATGATACTTTAAACTCATAGTCAAAATAAAAATATAGGAATGAAATAAAAATTGTTGATTCGAACCAAATATAATTTTGGAAACTTGATTCTGAATGAGAAAGCATATAAGAAATAATAATCTAAACAATGAAAATAATATATAATATATTTAAATTTATTATAATTTTGACCTAGCTATTTTATTAGAATAAGATAGATGGAAACAGAAAAAATTAGTGTAATAGATTTAATTTTAATATGTAAAAAATTATAAAAAGGAAATATTTTAACAAATTACTTTATAGCTTTTTTTAACCAAGCAGTAATGCTTATTATGTTATTGATTTTTATGTTAAAATAGAGTATTCTTCCAAATCTTTAATGTTTCTTTGAATTTAGTTTCTCTCTTTTAGTACTCTTCACAGTTTGAAATAAATTATTGTTGCAGAATTATGATTTCAAGAATCCTCCTCTAAATAAGTAAAACATTTGTAAATCATTAGGACTTGATAAATATATATTATTATACTCTAATTAATAAATAGTAGAAATTTAAGAAAAATAGACCTTTTGAGAGATTCAATTGTACTACATTATTATTTATATAATCTGTTTTTTTATGATTTCTTTTTCGTTTATTTTCTAAAATATTTCATTAATTGATTTCGAAAATTTTGATCTTTACTAAGAGTTTTTATCAATAAGATACTCATATCTTAATTGAATAATTTCATTATTACAATAATAACAAACATTGAAATGATTCAGATCTCTATTTATATATTTCGGCATTATATTACTTAATTTAGATAATATATACATTCCTCACTTCTTTCAAGCAAAAACTGTTATCGTAGTATTAGGTTTTAAAAGTAAATCCATTAAATATAACTTAATTTGTAGATTTAATAATAAAAGATGAATTAAGATCCAATAAACTATCTAGTTCTCTTTGAGATTTCCCTTGCATTATTAAATATTATATTTTATTTCTTAATTAAAAAAATAATCAATTATCACAAATATTTCTCATTTTTATTATTATTAATGAATATAAAAATTCTTAGAATGATTTCAACTACTGAGATAATAGAAATTGTTGCTTACAATATGTATTAAAACTTAAGAATTGGAATTTAAAGAGTTTAGAACATTCTAGAACTGCTAATTATTTTTGTTATTGGACATTTTAATATCCTCTCTAAATTTAAGCATTTTTCAATTAGAGTTTTTTAGTTTGATGATATGTTGAAATCACTTTACCTATTTTCCAGGATATAATTTTCTTAAGTTATCTTTTTTATTAAAAACTCTTTGAGTTTCATTAATCAAAATTGTTTAAGAAATTCAAAATTAATTTATTTTGAGAAGAAATCATTCCTTCTATTAAATCGAATTCAATAACTATTATTTTCACATGTGGATTTTATAGATTATCAAAAAAGGTTACCATTTATTTTAAGAGTGTGAATAACCTTTTTATTTAATTTAACCTAATAGGATTTACTTTGTTCATCAAATTGTTACTCTATAATGCATTCAACTTTATATTCTCTATTGTATAATTTTAAAAATTTCTTATTGGGAGTATAAAATTAAAGATTAATGGATATTTCAAAAAAATACTATTAATTACAATACATTACAATATCAATAAGTGATGAGAATCTATTACATAATTAATGATGAAATAATCAGATATTTGAATTGATAGTATTATAATTAATTAATTAATAATAATAATAATGATGTCATTATTAATCACTGGATTTGTCATAGGAATAGTTTATGCTGTTAACCCTGATACTGATAGAGTAATATTTCCAGGTTGGGGAGAATATAATTTTAACTCTTATTCAGGATATCTGCCCATAGGAGCAGGATTAAGGTATATTAAATTATAATGTAGATAATTGAGTTATGTTTTTCTCGAAAGTTAAAGAAACCCATTAAATGACCCTCTTGTTGTATGGTTAGGTGGTGGGCCTGGATGTTCTTCATTATTAGGATTAAATGAAGAAATTGGCCCATTTGTAATGGTTGATGATGATAGAGAATTCAAGAAGAATCCTTATTCATGGAATATTAGAGCCAATATTTTATTCTTGGAATCACCTGCAGGAGTAGGATTTTCAATTAATATTGATACTAAATATGAATATAATGATGAGAATTCTGGTTAAGACAATTACTAAGCTCTATTAGTTTGGTTTTAAGCATTTAAATAATTTCAAAAACATAAATTTTTTATTGCAGGTGAATCATATGCAGGTACTTTATATTTAATAATATTTAGGAATGTATATTCCATATACAGCTAAAGCAATAGTAGAAGGAAATAAATAAGCTGTATTTAAAATACCTTTAGAAGGTATCTTAATTGGAAATGGGTTATTGATATGGGATGCAAAAATAAGAAGATCAGCTTTATAGGAGTTTTTCATAAGAAGAAATTTTCTACCTCCTACCACAGCAAATACAATAAGAAAAATATGTGGTGTCAAACCAGATTCAATTAATTGTGTATTGGCTGAAACTTAATTTGATTAAATTTGTTTGGGATCAAATATTAATGTTTATAACATATATGGATATTGTAAAGAAGATACAACCCCTGAATTTTTGAAACCAAAAACTAAAACAACCAAATAAATTAGATATCCATATGTGTCTTGGTATGAAGGAAACAATTTCTATGATGATGATAAAAGAAAAGCTCCTTGTTCTGATTTTGGACCTATTAATGAATACTATAATAATGCAACAGTTCAAGAAGCTTTACATATTTTAGAAAGACCTTATTTTTGGTCTGCTTGTAGTTAGGAAGTCAATAAGGCATATAATATTAGTAATAATGGAAGTTATTAAATACTTCCATTATTAAGTTAATCAGGAATAAAGATATTAATATATTCTGGTGATTAGGATGCTGTTATTAGTGTTGTAGAAACTGAATAATCCATTAATATGATACCAGGTATTTAAGAATTAGATTCTTGGACTCCATGGGGCAATACTGATAAAGATTTAGCAGGTTGGATCACATAATATAATTACTTGAAATTTATTGTTGTAAAAGGAGCTGGACATGTAAATATATTTGTATTAATATTAGATGGTGCCTGAAGATCAAAGATAAAATGCATTTGAAATGTTTAATAGTTTCATTTATGGGAATGAACTTCCAAAATATCATTGAGTGGATTAATAATATTAAATTAATTCCAACATAATATTATAATAATTGGTTTATATATAATAAATAAGAAATAAATAATTAGTTATGAATACTTGCTCAAACGCCTAATTTGATAAAATGGCGTAATTTTTCTTACTAATATGATTAAATCCTCCCTATTCTCCTTAGAAATAATAACAAAAATCTCTCTAAATTATATTCATAGATCACTCTAAAAAAGGACATAATAGTAATATCAAAATAAAAGAACAAATAGTTAAATAGAATTACCTAAATTATAATTTACCACAGAAGCGGGATCTCAATATATTTATGAAAAATTAAGAGTCAATTTAATCATAAACTAATTTTATCTCCAAATGCAAGTTGAACAGAAAGATTCCCTAATACTAATATAAATAAATCAATTGAATAAAGATAATTAAACGAAATAAACAAAGAATTTATAATATAATACTAATGAATCTAATTAATAAAATATATAATAATAAAATAAGTTCATTCATATCAAATAAATGATTAATGATTTTAATTTCAATTTAATAATACATTAAATATAAATATTTAGATCAAATACTCAGTAAAAATATATGACAATCTTTTTAAACGTTTTAATAATTTAAAAATTTTAATTAATGATTTAAATAATTATAATCAACTTAGATATAAAAAGAATGAAATATATCCATTATAAGGTTGTTTTTCACTAAGATTTAGATGTACCAGTATCTTTATCATATTTTTTGAATGATTTCACGATACAAAATGATTTTTTTTATATTTAATTGAGCATAATTTATGATGACATCATTTTATTTCTTTTAATCACAAATATTATTAATACTATATAATTGTCATAAAAAATAATCTTTACATGATATTAAAGGAGAAAAAATTCATTTTCCAAAGAATTATCTTGTTATTAATCGAAAGTGATACAGAAGAATTTGAATAGAAAATTTAAACTAAATTTAGTATCATTAATATATCATAAAAAATATTATCTTTAAAAAAAAAATGCATTACTAATTGAATATTTTACTTAATAATTAATAAGAGATTTGCTCTGTAAATTCATTAAGACTGAAACCTATTTTATTATTGATAAATGTAAAATAATTCTTTAAACTAGATAATATGATAATTTTCTATTGTTGTTAAATTTGAGTAGAGTAATTTATTGGTAATAAGAAATAGAGAAGTTCATATATAAATATTTAGAAAATTCTCTTGAAATTTCATAAATGGAGAAATTATCAATTTAAACTGATTTGAAATTTAAAACTAACTCTAACAGAGCATTAGTTATTATATAGAAAAGGTTAAGTTTTTTAGAAAAAATACTATAATTTAATTTTAATTCTAAATGTTAAGTCAAATCAAATTAACTGATAAAATTAATCAGGAGCAGAGTCACTAGTGAAAAAACTTAAACAAGGAATTCCTCAATTGTAACTTGTGATTATAACTTTTATGATAATTCTGAAACCCTTCCCATTTTACGAAAGCTGGACCCAGTAGGTAAGATTCGGAATCCAAGTCATAATTTGTCATCAAGAAAAGTCATGGTGAAAATTTATCCACAGGTTAGTCAAGATATTAATAAGATAAAATACTTCGCTGTGAATATACTAAATTGGAAAATTTAAGTCTTCTTAAAAAGATCAATGTAAAGCACTTTAAAACTTTAATATTATTCTAGCCTAAGTAGTTTAATACTTCAAATATTCTAATGTCTGAAATACTAATGTTTCAGGAAAGAATGAGAATGGAATCCTTTTAAGACCTTTGCTCATCAGAATATTCCCAAAATTAGAATGGTAATTTTCTGATTTCATTTTGACAAATAAAAATGATTGAAGCATTTTTTATAGAAAGTTTTAAAGATTTTGTTCAGAAAAAGTGAACACTCTCAAATTGGTTTTATATCAAAACTTGGATTTGCATAAAAGTGTTAAAGAATTAACTCGAAAAATGAAGATGGATTTATGAATAATTAATTATCAATGACTTTAACATTGAGGAAAAAATTTCTTTAAAATTGAAGCACATCAAACATCTTTTTTTTTTGCTCCTTATTTTTTTGATATTTAGATTAATTAATTTTTATTGATAAATTAGGTAGGATTTTTAGAATCAAAATGATTTTTCATCTAATAACAATTTATCAAAATTTATTTGGAAAATAGATCTAATTACTAATATTATATTTTATTAAATCATATCAGGCTTTTTTATTGTCAATTCCCAATAATAAATAATTGATATCCTTAATTTTTAAACATATCTTCTTTTCTTCAAGATCACAGTTTATTGATTTATTTGTTGTATAATTTGTTTGAACTTTACAAGCGGTTGCATCATTCGAATATTATATATTAAATTTATCATTATACTAATTACTCCAAATACATTTTTTCATTGATCTTTAAAATAATAAATAATCAACATGTTATTCAGTTTTAAATTCAGCATTTTAATTTATTAATATTAAATCTGATATTGTAAACATAAAATTCTCAATAGAATGAAAGCATATGATGTATCGATTAATTTCTTATATAATATATAATTTATTATCTTAAAATTAATCCCATAATTTTCAAAAAAAATTTACAAGTCTGAAAACATACTATTCATATTTCTATAAAAAATGCTTCAAATAAGATGCTTTATTAAAATATAATAAAGACTACTTAAATAATAAGCTTATGAAATATGAAATTATTTCTGAAAAGAAACTTATTATATCGTTAAATAATTATTAAATTATAAGTTAAAATGTAAGTCTCTAATCTGAATTCAAAGCATTTGATCCTCAAAAACAAATGACCAGGCTCTTTTAAAATGTCTTTAAGAATTAGTTTAATTTTTCGTCAAGTTTTGATCATACATTTAAAAAATTCTACAGTGATTTTTTTACGTCTCAATATATTCTTAATTTATTCATAGGTTTAAAGAAATTTTATAATTATAAACACAACTATAACCAATTGTTCATGCAAGCATAGCACAATAAAAAGAAGTTGGATTACCAAAATAATCAATTAAAGTCCATCAAAGTTCTTATGAGTAATACAGGATGATGACCATTAAATATACAATGATGAATAAGTCACCTAAAAATGGCGTATAACTTAACTATAAATAGCATTTGCTGATATTAATTGAAAACTTTTGATTAAATGTATCAATGAATGCAGGAAAATATTAATACAATCCAAGATGTTAAGAAATTTGATTAAATATATCTTAGTCATCAATTTCTTATAGTTGTACCAAATTAGGAATACTATCATAGAGGGCATCATTGTTTATTTTCATGTTATAGATTTATAAAAAATAATTAAAAAAATAATATGGATCAATTAGTATTTATAATGAAAAAAGATACATTTATAGAAAAATTGAATAAAGAATTAAGTAAATAGATTTTTTAAGTGTCATGATGATAAGATTAATGGTTACAAAGTTTAATTAATGAAAATTGAAAAATATAGAATAATCGAAAAGTAATTATATGATTGAATGAAACTGAGAAATTTAATGATTTTATAATTAAATATTTATATTGTTTAATCATTTTATTGATTTTTTTTAATGAATATTCATCCATTGTAACAAATAAAATGTAGAATTATTAAATTAATTAACTTGATTTTGTTTTAAATTGTTTTTATATCATCTTTGCTTTCATCATGTGAAAAGTAATCAAATTTGATTATTTCTTTTGCTTTTTTATAGAATAACTTCGAAAAATAAACAATAATATTAATTCATTTTAAACTAATTAATTAATTAATTTAATAATTCTACATTTTATTTGTTACAATGGATGAATATTCATTAAAAAAAATCAATAAAATGATTAAACAATATAAATATTTAATTATAAAATCATTAAATTTCTCAGTTTCTTTCAATCATATATATACTTTTCGATTATTCCATATTTTTCAATTTTCTTAAATTAAACTTTGTAATCATTAATTTTATCATCATGAAACTTAAAAAGTCTACTTACTTAATTCTTTATTCAATTTTTCTATAAATGTATCTTTTTTCATTATAAATACTAATTGATCCATATTATTTTTTTAATTATTATTTATAAATCTATAACATGAAAATAAACAATGATGCCCTCTATGATAGTATTCCTGTTGTTGCAAATCAGGAAGGAGATTTAAAGAATTCACAAATTTCGGACCTAACAAAAAAGTTAATGTGGTATGCATTTCCTTAAATTAATCATAATTCTACAATTGCTAGTTTTGATTAAACTATGTTATTTATGGTTAAGGTATATTCATTTCTAGCTGGAATGATCCTAAGTTTATATTTAATGATAGTAATTCTATATTTCTGTGATGATTTTCGATAGAGTTTGATTTAAATAGTTGAGTTTTAAGAAAAGCATTATTCATTTTATTAGACTTAAGCAACTATTTTTTATTGGATAAACATGATGTTTACAATATGTCTTGGATTTATAATAAACATCTTTAAATCAACAAGAGAGGTATTCAACTTTATTAAATTAGTTTCCGTTTAATATCATTTTTTACATAGTATTTTCATTTTGTATAGGCCTTCTATTAGGAGCTCCTATTGCAAATAATTTAAGTATGCATAAATAAGGATTCATCATAATCTTATATTTATTTTGTATGACGATTGGAACATTTACATGCATTATTATTTTTACATTTAAAAAACGTATCCTAGATAAATCAAATTGTATTTTATCACAATCATATTTAGACATACTTCTAGTGATTTTTATTGTTATGATTTTTTTGCTAATTATTTTTATTTTTACCATGAAATCTTTTATAGGAGTGTTAATTGGGGGGGCAATTTGTCATGTAATTTATAGTTTTCTTATGTTGTTTGAAGCATAAATGATAATGCATGGAAAAGTAATTATATTTTAATGTGGTAGTTTTTGCTAAAAACAAACGAATTTATAATTGGAGCGCTCTTATTTTACATTGATATGACCGTGTTTATATTATATCTAAGTGTTGTTGCCTCTGTAGCTTTAGTCATTGGTATCTGTATAGCTCTGTGTAGCGCTTGTGCTCATATTAAGTGACTATTTATATATTAAATTAAAAAACATAAACATTTTCTATAGGTTTAAATATTTTATAATTTATATTCTTTTTTTAACATTTCTGAGGTCCTTATTTTCTTTAATAAACTAAGAATATTTTTTATTTTTTTTATTCCCAACTAGTAGATCAGAATATTTTTGATTGAATTTTATATCTGCAATTTATCATTGAATGACACAATATGTTAAGGTTCAATTTAAGAGAAATAATTAAAGTGGTTTCAAAATAATTCAAGTTATTTTGAAAATTATATATAAACATTTAATGGTTGTATTGGGATTTGAAGATAAATTCAGATTCATAGTGATTAAAAGATTAATACTTATTGTCAACTTTTATATATTAAAAAAAAAACTTAAAGTATATATCCATAAATAATTCTATGTAAAAACGATGAAGATAATTAATTTCTCTATTAATATTAATGTTATCCTATCTAAATATAATTTGTTTTGTTTAATTATTGCAGATCCTAGAATAAGAATTTTAGAGACCATATAGAATATAATTTATTAATTAATTAAACTAATATTATTATTTAATAAATAATTTGTTACAAAAAATATAGAACTTTTATATACAATCATCATCTTAAAACCAAAAACTAATAATTTGTTGCTAACATCAAAAAATAATTTATTTATCAGATATACCAAAATCATAAAAATGAGCATCTCACATTTCAACATTTTCTAATGATATTGAAGACTATAATTTATGATTTTAAGTAGTTAAATATAGTTAACATCATTACATAGTTTTCCAGGTCCTTAAAATGAACAACATTAAGTCATTTGGTATATAAACTGTGATATCAAGTAGCTAAATTTACATCGTAGGTAGAAATCTTATGTATGTTTCAAGGATGATTAAGCATAATAACAATGAATTAAATTCTTCAGGTTTTGATGGACTATTCCAGCTCTAAGACCCCGATACTCAACACAAACTATTTCTTAGATAAAGCAAAAAAATCTAAATTTTTGACCAGAAATAAACATTTATGTTAATTTTTCCTTTTGATCAGCTAAATTCTGTAGCAATGACTATTATATTAGTAACTTTTTTAATTAATTCTAAATAAAATAATTTTCTATTTTCAACATTTCCTTTAAAGATGTAAATGTATTGATTTCAAAATATCCCTAGTCTAATTCAGAATATATGCATTCCAAAAATATATGCACTAGTTAGTTTTTACTAATAATTGAATAATATCATAATCATTCACTTTGTAATAATCTCGTTCTCAATTGGTTCTAAATTGGCTGGTTGTTTAATATAATCTTTCTAAAAAAAATTGTTATCATTTTTCTCATTTGATTATAAATATCAATAAAAACAAAATAAGCTTGGATTAATTTTCTAAAAACTTTTGTGTTTACTGACAACACTCCTTATTTAACAACATTAAATATATATGGTATGGATTTAAATGATTTAAAAATTAAATACATAGTAGAAGAAGCACTTCATTTCTTTACAAATAAATCCTCAAATTATAAATATAATATTAAGAAAATTAATATTTCTGATAATCCTGCATTGTCTCATAAAGGATGGTATAACTTATTTAAAAATTTTTTCTTTCATCCAAAAGTTGATTTAGAAGAATTAAATATGACTTACACTATGATCGACATCTAAAAAAAATTGGATTTAATTGCTGAAAATATAAGAGAAAGAGCTATTGCTTCTCCTAATTAAAAAGTCCCACTTCATACATTTTTATGTTACAACATTAGTTTAAAAGATTAAATTGCAGATTATTTATCAAATTAACCTTAAAATTATTTAATTTCTTAAGATTTACTTGTCGAAATAGAATATGAAAATACCTTAAACTTTGGATTTTTTGATGGATATCCAGAATCTTTTGGTGATATTTTATAAATGTTTTAAAGAATTCTTAAATTAAGACAAAATGTTGTTTATTAATAAGATTGGACAGTAACAAGATCAAAATACTCTCATTATCATTTAAATATGTGTGATCATTATCTGAATATCTTGAATATGCATTATAATACAAAAGGAAATAATTAAATTGATATTACATAAGTTTGTTGTCTTTAGATAATTTTGCTAATTTTTTTGATTATAAAACTGAATATCCTGGCTCACCTTATCCATATAATATATTATTTTCATAACGTACTTTTGATTATTTTAAGAGAAAAATTGCAATATCTTTAAAATAAAAATAATCTAAACAGAATTTGCTGAATTAGAATAAATAAACTAATTTTAAATTTTAAAACTATGGCATAATATCAAACATCATAGTACTAGTATAGATTAAATATAAATTGAATATGAATTAAATGATGATCTTATAGAAGAAATGTTTTAGTAAGGATATAATGAATATGAAATCATTTCATTAATCAGAATTATACCTCCTTCAAAAATTAGAATATAAAATTCTCTAAGTATTTAAGCAATAAAAGGAATATATTCTATTCTTTATGACACTTATTATTTTAAATATGCAATCATCAGTTATAGCTTTGATAATTTTTTAAATATTGGCATTGGTTACTCAATGAGAGAAGTGTTTTACAACTACAATGCAATTGGAACTATATCTAAATTCATTAAAATTGTATTCTATAAATTTTTTAATTTTTTTGTGAAACCCACTAAGAAATATATATTTAATGAAGAAGTTAAGCAATTAAATAATTATTTGTCTTAATAATAATACTACTTTTTTATTATAGTCATTACAAATATTTTATTTTTTGTAATCACCTTAGCAGGACCTTATTTATTTACCTATAAATTATTAGACACAGATAATTCTCAATTAACAAAGCCTTATTTATGTGTTAATGGGACAAGCAAACAAGCTTCTTATTTATATTATGCATTTGCTGTCCTTTCCCTAATAACAGAATCAATACTTTATTATAAAGTGGCAAATATTGTTCCAAACCATGCTGAAAGAATAATTATTTAAAAAATTGAATTTGAAGAATAATTAGATAATCAACATTAATAATAATAACTACTAGAAATATAAAGTAATAAGATTCTTCCTGCAAGTGAAGAAGAAGCTATTATGCTTAAGAAAAAATAATAAGCTTTATAAATTTAAGTTTAAGAAAAAAGTATTTCTAAAAAAATTACATCATTTTCTGGTAAACTTACTTAGGCTATTGCAACCTAAGCAGAAGAATTTACTTAATCTAAATTTGGAATCTATCTAAGTTATTTTATGACATTGTTATCATCATAATTATTTAAATTTGACTTATATAATGATGTTGTTTTTATATTGAATGCCTTCAATTGTGATGAGTTTAGTGTGTTTATATTAGCACTTATAACTACAGTATTATCATAAGGAATCTACATTTTGTAATTCATTTATTTAGTAAGCTCCAGATTAACATAAAATTAAAAAACTGCTAAATTACTTTCTTGTAAATTTATTAATGATTTTTACGCAATCAGTTTTCTTGGCAGAAATGCAGCACTTTCAACAATACTGGATTCTTCTTCACCTTTTAATGTGATAATCATTCCAAATACAAGAATAATAAGATATTTATTTCCTTAACATGCAGGAAAAGCAATGAGTAATTTAGTAAAATCATATTTCTTTCAATTTATTTGTGAAGATTTACCTTAAACACTATTACAAATGTATTTTGTAGTGAGTCAAGCTCTTAAAAGATCTTCAAATCTCTAAGTGTAAGTGTACATATCTATATTTACAGCAATATTTACAGCCTTATCATCTTTTTATAAGTAAANAAATATTGGCATTGGTTACTCAATGAGAGAAGTGTTTTACAACTACAATGCAATTGGAACTATATCTAAATTCATTAAAATTGTATTCTATAAATTTTTTAATTTTTTTGTGAAACCCACTAAGAAATATATATTTAATGAAGAAGTTAAGCAATTAAATAATTATTTGTCTTAATAATAATACTACTTTTTTATTATAGTCATTACAAATATTTTATTTTTTGTAATCACCTTAGCAGGACCTTATTTATTTACCTATAAATTATTAGACACAGATAATTCTCAATTAACAAAGCCTTATTTATGTGTTAATGGGACAAGCAAACAAGCTTCTTATTTATATTATGCATTTGCTGTCCTTTCCCTAATAACAGAATCAATACTTTATTATAAAGTGGCAAATATTGTTCCAAACCATGCTGAAAGAATAATTATTTAAAAAATTGAATTTGAAGAATAATTAGATAATCAACATTAATAATAATAACTACTAGAAATATAAAGTAATAAGATTCTTCCTGCAAGTGAAGAAGAAGCTATTATGCTTAAGAAAAAATAATAAGCTTTATAAATTTAAGTTTAAGAAAAAAGTATTTCTAAAAAAATTACATCATTTTCTGGTAAACTTACTTAGGCTATTGCAACCTAAGCAGAAGAATTTACTTAATCTAAATTTGGAATCTATCTAAGTTATTTTATGACATTGTTATCATCATAATTATTTAAATTTGACTTATATAATGATGTTGTTTTTATATTGAATGCCTTCAATTGTGATGAGTTTAGTGTGTTTATATTAGCACTTATAACTACAGTATTATCATAAGGAATCTACATTTTGTAATTCATTTATTTAGTAAGCTCCAGATTAACATAAAATTAAAAAACTGCTAAATTACTTTCTTGTAAATTTATTAATGATTTTTACGCAATCAGTTTTCTTGGCAGAAATGCAGCACTTTCAACAATACTGGATTCTTCTTCACCTTTTAATGTGATAATCATTCCAAATACAAGAATAATAAGATATTTATTTCCTTAACATGCAGGAAAAGCAATGAGTAATTTAGTAAAATCATATTTCTTTCAATTTATTTGTGAAGATTTACCTTAAACACTATTACAAATGTATTTTGTAGTGAGTCAAGCTCTTAAAAGATCTTCAAATCTCTAAGTGTAAGTGTACATATCTATATTTACAGCAATATTTACAGCCTTATCATCTTTTTATAAGTAAATTCTAATTGTTTATTTTATAGATTTTTATCAATAAGACCTTCAAATTTATTATAAAGAGATTTTGATGAGATGTCTGTTAGATTATCTAATAACTATGATGAATAAATTTAAAATTGCCTACGATAAGAGTAAATTCAAATTTAGACATTTATTGAATTATATAATACCCCTGATCATGAACTTTTGCCTGCTGAATTATCAGAGGAAGAAAGATAAAATTTATTAAATTGAGATAAAATAAATAAAATGTTATATTTTAATTTATCATTCTAATATGAATTTGAGGTGAAAAGTTTTATGTGATAATCAATATAATTACTTGTGTTTAATTCTTTTAATGTTATTTTTTTTAATCCTTTTTTAAAATAATTGAGAATATAAATATTATTAATAACTGTAATATATTTTCTATGATAAATATGTAATTTATGAAATTATATGAAACTTACATCATATTAAGAAATGAATTTATTATTTGATATCATTCATTTAACTATCTTTAAATAAATAAGTATTTCAAATAGAATTTATAATAATTAAATTCTATATAAAATTTTGAGATATAAATTTTTTTTATTAATTTATTATAATTTTTCCCTATATAAATTTTTAAATCAAAATCAAACAAAGATTCCCAAAATTGCCAATGGAATTGTTACACCCAATATGTATCCATTATCATCAGTATTAGTACCTGGGTCGGTGGTGTTTGGATTGGTTGTATTATTGTTATTGTTAGTGGGAGCTTTGCATGAAACACATTTATTTGTTGATTCATTCCAAGTATATGAGAAAAGTGTTAATGGCTTATAGCATTATTCTGCAGTAAGAGTAGATGGATCACCAACAGCACATACATTATTGACTAATACACAAATAGTACTTGATGCACCATCGAAACTTTGGAATGGATTACAAGTAGTACCTGAAGCAATTCCTGGACAATCCATAGGTTTACAACTAGTTGTAGTAGTAGTTCCAGTAGTAGTTGATGACCATTTACATGCCTTTGATTTACTATCACAAGCATCCTTATCATTATTGGCATTTTCACATGATTTGAATAATTAACAGGTTCCATTATTTGGATCTGTAGCTGTTGGTGCTGGATTGAATGCACATTTACCATCAGAACCTCCTGCTTTACATGATAATTTATTCTTATAATTGGCACATGTATCTTATTTAACACAAACAGTTCCATTAGAAACACAAGCTTTTTTAGGAATTATTCCAACACAAGCATCATTAGTAGTTCCTTTGATATCTGAACATTCCTTAGGTCTGCATGATTTAGTTCCTGTGGTTGCTCCAACTGGTAAATCAAACACACAAGGAATTTCATCTGAACCAATTGTACAAGCTGCTTCACTTTGATAAGAACTACATGTAGCTCTAGGGACACATTTAGCTCCATCAGTTGTGCATACTCCACTCTTAACAACATAAGCAATACATTCAGCATCAGTTGTAGCTACTTTGTCAGTACATTCTCTCAATCTACAGGCTGTTCCGGTCCATTAACAAAGTCCATCAGTACCTTCATTATCACAAGCTGAAGGAGTTAAATATGAAGAACAAGTTCCTTTATCAATACATTTGGTTCCATCTGAAACACAAGTTGGACCCCAACTAGTACATGCTGATAATGTAGCACCTTATGCATCACTACATGCTGTATATTCTTTACATTTGCTTTCAGGTAACCATCCACATTTAGTATTATTAATACCAATTGTACATGAAAAGATATCTTCATATTTATCACACAAAGTAATAGCTCTACAAGTTGTAGTTGTTGGAACACATTATTTAGAGAAGGCTTAGCAAAATGTATATGTTGAAGAAGTAACATCTGTGCAATTATCATAATCGTAGCAAACACCATTAACATATAAACATGGATTTCCAGCACTGTTCTTTAAACAGAGTTTAGGATTACCATTAAATACATCGCATCCAAAGTTTGGTCCAACACAAGCAGTTCCTGAAGTTTTGCATCCAGCAAGCCAAGTATTACATGCATCATCAGTAGTAAATACTCCATCTGCACATTATCTTTATCTACAAGCTGCTGTTGTAGAATTCCATGTACATCTTATAGATGATTCAGTTGTATTAGCAGATTCACAAACAGATTTTGATCTATATGATGAACAAACACCTATAGTTATACAACCAGCTCCACTAGTAGTACATGTTGAATCTTTATCTTAACAATCTTTATGAGTTGTAATAGATCCATCATAATCTGCACATGTGAAATCTCTGCAACCACTTGTAGAAGCACCAATAAACCAAGCACATCTCTTTCCAGTTGACAATGGAGTATTCACACAAATAGTTTGACCTGATGTAGTTAATGCACCACATGTAGTTGGTAAACTTCTACATTATCCTGCCCATTAACATGATGCATTAGCTGTACATGAAGTTTATGATGTTAATTCTCCACATCCAATACTACTCTTGCATCCTCTACCAGTTGTTTTACAACTTGGATGATATTTGGAACATTAATCATCTGTTGTATATGTGTTTGGAGCTTCATAACATACTCTAGGTGTACAAGCAACAGGAGAAGCTGATACTGAACTTGCTTTACATGGACCATCAGAAGCTGTGAATTATAAACAAGTTTCATCATTTCCTCTAAAGAATGAACATGCTTTTCCAATATCAACACAAGTTCTACCATCAGTAATACATAATTATGCAGTTACTGGAGCAATAGGTGGTAAGAAAGTTTAACATTCAGCATCTGTTGTGCCTTATTTATCTGTGCATTTTCTATCTGCACAATTTGCTGAAACTGTTGTACTAGCTCCCCAACAATACTTGGTACCATTATTTCCCTTAAATCCTGAACAAGTTGATTAGGTTCCCTTATATGCACTACAAGCTGCACTTTTACTAACACATCCAACTCCATTGAATAGACATCCTGTTAAGAAACTTTCACACTCGCTGTCGCTAGTAGCTGTTGCCAAATCTGTACATGATCTATTTCTGCAAGCTGCTTTAACACTAACAGAATCACCAAAGCATTTCACTCCATCACCTGTAAATTTCTAACATTGTTCTTTTGTACCATAATAAGAGGAACATGCTTCTGATTTATGTATACAACCAAAACCTTTATTCAAACAATCAGGATGGAATGATGAGCATTCTGAATCAGTAGTTGCAGTAACATTCAATTCACAAGTTAACTTTGTACAAGAGGCATCAGTTGTAGCTAAAGTACCTTTGGCACAAGTTGATTTATTATTAGTATCTAATGCCCATTCACAAAAAGCTAGATATCCATTTTATGCTCCACAAGTTGTTGAAGCTAATATACAACCTTAACCATCTGATTTACATAAAGAAGAATAAGCCTTACATTCTTCATGAGTTTAGAAACTAGCTGTTGCAGAATCATCACATAATCTATTTCTACAGTTAGCATCTTCATTAGAATTAGCTGTGCAGAAATCACCAGCAGTATTTTTTAGACTATTACACAATGAAATTGCATTAGTTGATCCAGTAGCGTATACGCAAGTTGCTGATGCAGTGTAACATTTTCCATTAGCAAATACACATCCAGCTACATATTTCTTACAATCATCGATACTAAGTGCTCCTGTAACATCTTCACATCTTGCAGCTACACAAGCAGTACCAGTACCAAAACAAAGTAATCCATTAGTATCCTTTTATTTAGCACAATCAGTTACTATAGTTCCAGAAGATCCTCCTGTATATGTAGAGCAAGCACCTACAGCAACACAAGTACTTGTTGAAAAGTATGTGCATTTTCCAGAAGTGGGTACAACACCTTAACAAGCTGATAACTTATCATCAGCATCAGTTATACTAGATAAATCATAAGCTGTGCATACATCTATTGCTGAGCATGTTGTCACACTTCCTTTTTTTAAAAATGTACATCCAGCATTACTAGCATTTACTAGATTATTGCAATAGTTAAGTTTATCATCATCAGTAGATCCTGTTGGAGTGTAGGAAGTACATGCTGCTTGTTTGATATAACAAATTTAATTTTGAGGTTAATATGTGCAACCTGATCCAGTCGCATCACAATCAGCTTGTGATTATGGATTTACTGTATCTTCACATGAATAATCTCTGCAATTAGCTCCACTAGTCCATGAACATTTACCTCCATCTTATTTAATTCTAGCTTAACAATATACTAATTGATCTGATGTTGGTGCCAATCCAGTACAAGCAGACTGAGCGTCAACACATGCACCACCAGAAACCCATGAACATCTATTCCCAGCTTAATCCTTTCTGGCTTAACAAAATTCTAATTATCCAGTAACTGGCAAATCATTCCATTCAGAGCATGCGGATGGCTAATCTTAACATGTAGTCCCACTTTTCCATGAACATTTACCTCCATCTGATTTAATTCTTGCTTAGCAAAATTCTAATTCTCCTGATGCTGGTAGACTACTCCATCCAGCGCATGTTTTTGGAGCAGCCATACATCCAGTAGCTCCTATGTTCCATGAACATTTCACTCCAACTTGATCAACTTTAGCTTAGCATTGTGTTATAATATCCCCACTTAGACCAGTGTAACCAGCACATGTAGCTTAAGCATCTGTACAAGAAGCACCACTAGTCCATGAACATCTTTTTCCCTTTTCATTAACTCTTGTTTAACAATATGTTAATTCAGTTCCAGATGGGACACCATAACCTGAACATGCACTTCTTGCAGGTACACAATCTGGACCAACTCCTTCATATGAACAATAAAGGGAATTTGGACCAGGATTTGCTTAGCAATTAGTTGCTCTTTCATCATTTGTAGTACCAGTGGTATTAACAATACATGGATCTCTAGCTACACAAGCAGGATTATTTGGATCTTTTTTGCAACCTAATATAGTTCTTAAATCACAATCCGCATCACTTGTAATGTCAGCTGTTATAACTGTGCATGAAGCTGCATTATCATTTGGATCAAAGCAACTGGATCCACCTACAACATAGGTACAAGCACTTCCTGTTTTGATTCTGCGTTTAGAACAAGCAAGCAATTTTTCAGTATTATCGTTACCATTTGCAAAGTAATCACCACAATTAGTTCTACCAGCAGCACAACCTCCAGTATTATTATTAGCTTATGGATCAAAAGAGCAGTAAGTATCAGCTGTATCTTCAAACATGTTCTAACAAAAGTATTGTTTAGCATCAGCAGTATTGATTGAACTAGGAATTGCATAACTTGTACATACAACTCTAGAGTAACAAGCACCTTTATAGTATTTACAACTTCCTGATCCTAAATTACAATCTGCTTATGATGTTGGTGATAAAATGGTATTACAAGCTGCAATAGTGATAGCAGATGGATTAGCAACTGTTGCTGGGACAGCATCAACGCAATTAGCTATTGAAGTAGTAGAAATATATGCACATTATTTAACGGTTGCACCATTAACAGATTTCAAGGCTGAACAATATTAAGATTAATTTGATCCAATTTCAGTTAATAAATAACCTTAACATGATTATTTTGTAGTAATACATTTGTTATTTGAAAATTAACAGTTTCCATTATTTAATTATTTATTACAATCTGCAGCAGTAGTTGGGGAAATGATCTCTTCACAAGTATTTATATTAGAACATGCTGTTGTGCTTTCAGCTTAATCATATGAGCATTTAGTTGGAGTAACTGCACCAGTGAACATTCCATTGCACCATGTGAGTTTAGCTCCAGCTTCTGTAATACTATTTGGAATTAAGTATAAAGTACAAGAATTTTAAGGAGCATAACAATGAGTTCCATTCAATTTACATGAAGCAGTTCCATTATAATTTTCACATGTAATATTTGTTAATGTACTCACCCATAAATTGCATGATCTAGCTGAACATGTACCTGTAACAGTTGGATTATAACTACATAAACCACTTGAAGATGTTGTAACTTAATTACAATAATTCTACTTCTCAGTATCATCAGTACTAGTAAATGTATAACTTGTACAAGCAGCTTAACTTTGCATACATGCACCATCTCCAAGTTTAAATCTGCAATCAGCATGATATAATAAACAATCATCATTTGAAGTGACTCCTGTTTTTGTACTGCATGTAGTACTTTTAGATACACATGATTCTAATCTTGTGCATTTATCAGCTCCTGAATTTCCAGTAAATGTTAAACACTTATCAGTTGTTCCTGAATATGATGTACAAAATGATGTCTTATCAATACATCCTGTTCCTTTAGTAACACATTTATCTGGTAAAAATGTATTACAATCTCCATCACTTGTACTGGTGTTATCATCATTACATAATTTACTTCTACACTTACCACCTGAACCTTAATAACATGGATTTGCTCCATTATCCCCTTTATAGTTTAAGCAACTAGTTGCATCACCTTTATAAGCAGTACATGAGGCACTTTTATCAACACAACTACCATTTCCATCATATAAACATCCTGTCAAAAAAGATTCACAAGCTGTATCATCTGCCATATTAGTTGCTTAAGTACATACTTTATTAGTACAAGCACCAGATGTAGCACTTGTATTCCAACATCTATTAGTCTTATTTCCTTTAAATTTATCACATTAATCTGGAGTACCTGTATAACTTGAGCATGGTGCTGAATCAATAATACAACCAGTTCCTTTTGTCACACAACCTGTTAAATAATTACCACAATCTTAATCATTATCATAAGTGAGATATGAATCATCACAGGATCTTGCTTTACAAGCTGTAGTTTCAGTAGCAGCACCATCATTTGTGCATTTAGCTTTAAATGCTTAACATATTTATTAAGTTCCCTTAAATTAAGCAGCACAATTAGTACCATCAACACATTTAGTACCATTAGTAACACAATTTTCAAGTAATGTATTACAAGTATTATCATCAGTTGCAGTAAAATCATCGCATCTAGCATTTCTGCATGAACTTGATTCCCATTTACATGGTCTATTATTTATTTTAACACTTTCACAAATAGATTTAGTTAATAATTATCCACAACTAGTTTTAGAAACACAAATTGAATTCCATCCACAAGAATTTGTTCCTTCACAAGTAATTTATTTTACAGTATCTTAACAAACAGTTGTTGATACACATCCTGCTCCAGTAGTTACACATCCACTTTTGTAATCATCACATTATTTATTGGTAGTTAATGATGTCAAAGCTTCAGTACAAACTCTTGCAGCACATTTTCCACTAGTGCCAGCTTTACATCTACCATCAGATCCAAATAATGAATTACAAGAAGTTCCATCATCTGTGTAAGAATATGATGAGCAAGCAGCCAATGTAGCTACACATCCTTTACCTGTAGTTTTACATGTTGATTAAATTGCTTCACATTAAGCTTATGTTTTAAAAGTATCATTACTATCAGCTACACAATCTTTTAATGCACATTTAGCTGTAGTTGTTGATGTACCTTTACAATTACCATCTGATCCTTTCAAACCATTACAAGTAGTTATTGTTCCATCATATGAATTACATAAACCAAGAGAATCAACACATTATTTTCCATTTGATTTACATCCAGCCTTCCAAGTACCACATTCTTGATCAGTAGTTGCAGTCTTTTCACTGCATAATCTAGCTCTACATTTAGTACCTGTAGCATCTCCAGCACATTCTCCATCTGTACCAATATATCCTACACAAGTTGAAGCATTTCCATCATAAGAAGAACAAGCTCCTCTTGTTGCAATACATCCTTTTCCTGTTGTTACACATCCAACTTAATAAGTAGAACAAGCTTCGTTAGTATTTAATGTAATATCAGCACCTGTACATACTCTTGCTCTACAATTATTACCTTCAGGATTAAATTCACAATTTCCATCTGATCCTTTCATCTTTGGACATGTTTCTGAAGTTCCTTAATAATTAGCACATGGTGGGATAACATCAATACATCCAGCACCTGTTGTTTTACAACCAGCTAACCATATATTACATGCTTCATTAGTTGTTAGTGAAGCATCAGCCTCTATACATTTATAGTCTCTACATGTTTCTCCTTCAAGTTTACACTTGTATGGACTCTTTAAACTAGGTGTGGTTTCACATTATTCTTTACTATATCCAACACATTCAAGTGCATCTGTGCAAGTTGTTCCATTTGTTATACATCTATAAGAGATACTTTAACAATCTGAATGTGTAGTTTTGACATAGGCGGAACATCCTGTGAAATGAGTGCATTTTCCTTCAACTAAGGCACAACCAAATGTCTTAGCACAATTAGCTGTCTCAATAGTTGAACAATATGGTGTAAAAGTCACAGGAGGAGGTGCTGTAGTTTTAACACATGATCCTGGTGTTGTAGCTGTCCTCTCTGTCCAAGTACATCCAAATGATTTACAATCTTATGATGATTTGAATTATGCACAATCATCACATTAATCTGTTTTTGTCACAGTAACTTAATTAGTTAAAGTGACCAGAAGAGCTATTAAAAGCAAATACTTTATTTGCATTTTTATATTTAGTAATTTAAATATAAATGAATATCTATTTGAAATTTCAATAATCATAATATCTAATTTTTTTTTATTTTTATTTGAGATCATAAATTATTAAAATTTCATACAGGAAATTTTAATTTTCAAAAAATTTCTCGAAGAAAATCTTCATTAATATATATTTCATACTTGAATTGTTCCAAAAACAATAAGAAAAGGTTATTTTATATTTCAGGAATTGTCTTCTTATTGAATGATTGATATTCTCTAATAATTTAGAGATCTTTAGTTATTTTGTCCTTAATGTAGGCAAATTTGGAAAAAAGGATAAATTGTATAAATTGAGCCAAATTTTTTAACATTTCATGAGGTTTATCCTAAAATTTGTTGTATTTGATATTTAGATAGAAGAAATTATAAAAATGGTAGGTAAAAAACTAAATCATTCTAAAAAGAAATATATTCACAGTCATTCCAATCATTAATTTATATGTTCACTACTTTAGGATGTATGCATATATATTTGAAGAAGGTATTTCTACTCTTTTGTTCATTTATTATTAAAATTGTTTTCTAAATTCCATCTAGCAGTTTTTGCTCATTTTTCTTTTACTTAATATTATAGTGCATGATTTATTATGTGATAATTTTTTAGAAGCAAGATTCTCATTTATTCAATATAATATTGAGCATTTCAAAATAATTTTCTTTTATCTTCTTCATTATATTTAACAATGTTCAATTTAGCAAAATATACCTAGTCATTAAGTTATTCGTTTATATATATTGATTCTTAAATCACTCATTTATATATAAAAAGGACCTTTTATACTTTTTAAGAGTGTGAAAGAAGAGAAAAGGGGATGTAAAAACAAATTCTATCTGAATTTATAAAAGAGAAAATGTATATAACAAGAAGAAATATTCTATCTGAACCAAAAAATTGGAAAATTTATGAAATAAAAAGACATATTATCACACTATATTAATATATTCTAAATTCATTTAATAATTAAAATTTGAGAAATTAATTTTAAATATTTATAATTAATTGAATATGCTATCAATATTTTGAAATAGTTATAATAAATTAATGAAGACAGAATATTTATTCATCCAAAATAAATGATAATTAAAATCTGTTTATTACCTCCTATTTCACATAAAAGAAAATACTGCAAAATTTTCTGTTGGAAATTGCTTATTTGAGAATTTTAATTAGTATAAATAAAAAATTTCAAATAAATATATTATTGGCAAAGTTGATTATTAAAGAGAGCCTTACTCTTTTATATATATATTGCTTATATGATTAGATTGATATTATGATTAAAATTAGTATTTATTTTTATTTTGAATATAGTGCCTCAATAAAAATATTATGGAAATGATTTTTCTAGAAGGAAGTTATAGTTATTATTATTTATCCAAAAAAAATTATTATAATCATAATTTAAATCATTTTCATTTTTAAATATATTAATTATATCTAAATAGACAAATTGCATGTGTAATTAAGAATGATTTCTAAATTTACCTGATTTATTAATCAATATTAATAATATATTAATAATTTATATATATAAATAAATAATAATAATTAAAATTTATTTCTTTAAATTTATAATTATATTATTAATTAAGTATTATAATAATAATAATGAATATTTTTTCAATTTATTTTAATAGCATAATTTATATATATATTTGAATAATTTCCTTTGAATTATTAATAATAATTACCTTTCTAATGATATAACAAGAATTATAAAGAATTAAATAATTTATATTGTCTAAATGATATTGAATATGATTAAAAGGGATTCAGCATAATTTATATAAATTAATTTAATCATATTGATTTTAAAAACATTTCCAAAAGTTTAGTAATTTCTTAATAAACTTATAATGGATCACAATAATCTAATGATTCAATAGGCTATTATTTAAGTTTTATATCAAGCTCTATTAATTCAGCTGGTATGAATTGTACATCATTAATATTATTTTCTATAAATTCTTTATCTTCTTTATTTTTCACTTCATCTAATAATTTGCATAGCATCATTGCTATCTTATCTTAGTAATGATGTTGAAATCGTTTCTTAATCTAGACTATGTTATTGTTAATATTTTTTTCCTATTATTTCAAAAATAATTGATTATGCTTTTTGAACACCTTTAATATATTATTTAATCACTTCTTTTCGTAATAAATAATAATGTCTCAACATTAAAATATCAATTTAGCAAAGTATTCTCATTTATTCTGCTGTTAAAGTTTTTGAATCCATTTAAATATTGTTCTAAAACATTTTTGGTGTATTAAAGATCATAGTTGAATTAAAATTACAATTTAGATTAGAAAAGCATTCAAATATGTTAGGAAACTCTAAATCAATTGCTTATAATTCATATAATTCTGTTGGACCTTGTAATACTGAATCCTATATTTAAAAGGCCTCTGAAAACTTAGTATTGGTACTAAACTTATCTGGGATAATAATATTATTACTTCTAAGGGATTTTAGAGGTTTTTAATCCATATGATTCTACATTATTTTATTAAATATTTCATTCTCTAAAAACAAAATTATAAACAAAACTATCTTGTTATTAATTTTTTTGTGATAAAATGTTTAAAGAGATAATAATATTTTTATGATAATTAATTTATTAATATAAAAACTATGATCTTATCATTATATTACATTTTATATCTTTCTGCAATTCTTAAATTTGTGTTAATGATTTGAATGATAAACTAATCAAAATATACAAGTAAACATAAAATCCATAATGGATGCAAATTATACAAAATACTATTCTAGTTATATGATAAACTATTTAAAATAATTTCCTACTGCAACATAGCATAAATTAACTGTTATTATATTATAAAATAATTATAATTTTTCACATTGGAATTGACATTATCAAACAAATTTATAAGATATTCTATACACTAACCAACCTAAATAATATTATCATACAAATTTAAAACTATTATTACTTTAAAAATAATTGTAAATTATATTAAAAAAACCTTCATTTTAATGATAATTAAATAATTATTAAAAATAATACCAAAAAATTACATCATAATAAATTTCATCCCTCTTAATAATTTTTTCTTAAGATATACAAAGCTACATCTCTGTTAACAATTACAACATTTTTGATTATTTTTAAACCTTTTCTCTATTAACAATATTAGTAAATTTTTGTAATTTAAATGAAAAATTTCAACTGTTTATAATTATACTTAATCCTTAAATCAGCAATTATTCTTTTAGAAATGAGATATTTTACATTTATCAGAAAATATTATTGATTTTCCTATTTTCTGTTTATTAATCTAAATATTTATAAATTAAACTTAATATATTAGGAATTTTATATTTCTAATATATTATTTTTAAGGAAAGATTATCTTAATACTTCAATATTGAGCGATTTTTCATTGTAGTTAATGGTTTTCATATGTTAATTTAAGAAAGCTTGCGGTTTCTTTAAGGAATTGAGATTGCTAAGACAATTTAGACCTCAATAAAAAGTATGGAAAAAATTTCAAATCAGATTTTAAACTTTTTTATTTAATAAATTTCCATCTTGAATATTTATTGAAAGATGAAAAAGAAAAAAACTTAAACAATATGCTTTCAATATATAATTCTAATCTCTTTATATACAATTTTTAAATTTTATATTTGATTATTATGTAAATAGAGAAATACTATTAAGGTATAAAATTTTTTATTAATTACAAAGCCTTCAAACTTTTTTACTCTTTATTTTATCTATGGTAGTGTTGAAACATTTTTAAATAGAAGGCATCACTGAATAACACGATATTTTGTGATTTTTTAACTATACAACTCATTTATGTTATATATAACTCAAATATATATTCCAAAAATATCCTATAAGATTTACCCATAGAACTTAATATGGTCGAGGGATTAACCAAAAATTGATAATTTAAGCAGCTGGCCACACTTACCAATTAGTTATCATAACTTTTGTAAAGTTTTTTTTAATTGCCTCTATACCTTTGGTAATTGAACCACTTTCAAGAAAATTTATTATAATTAAATAATGACAGAGTAGATAACAACTCCACACAGTTTAATCAATTAAAACAGACCCAAATGCTCTTCTTATAGGTGTAGAAGTATCGAATGGTAATCTATAGTTTATAAAAATTATGCGACCTCTTTACTAGCCAAGGTAACATGTATGTAAAGTTATAGTGAAATAAAGGCCCCATAAAGACATTTCCCATTAGCCAGGCTATTCCTAATCTTCTTAAATTCAATTTTTAAGGTTGAGTTGTTTAGTCGAAATATGGTTTCATGGTTTAGACTGTAAAATCTCCAAAAGAAACAATGAATCCTAGACTTTATCAATCATTTATAACCTGCTGTGATAGATTTTGTTGCTAGCGGATACTTTTAGATGAGATTATGATATTTTGAGAGGAATTACATTAATAATTTAATTTAGATACTTTACAATAATTAAATAGTTAAACCTGTCTTATATGAGACTATAGCAAAATAGTTTTCTTTCAATAAAAATCTAATTATTATATGTCTTTACTCTAAAGTCTTAAAAATTATCACAAATATGATAAAATTTTGAAAAAGGAACTTATTTATTAAAATTAAAAATTTAGAATAATATTTTGCATTTATTAAAATTTATAATATTGTGGAGTGAAAACAAATGAAATAGTTACTGATATGTTCAAATCGTAATCTTTTCTACATAATCGAGATTTTGACTAATGGAATACATGTATTATCTAACATTTAATATAATGTTAAAATCCAATAAAAAAATAGAGTCAATTTTTAAGATTTTATATTATCTCATGATCTCAACCTCAATGTTGCTGATATGAATATATTTAAATTTAAGCTAAATAAATAATATATTATTAAATGATGATCATTGAGAATAAATAAATAATTAAATTGCAAAATTCGTTATACATATGTAATCAAAGTTAGGCATTAATTGGCACGAGTAAATCAATGAAGAAAAATTAAGAAATATTGGTAATGCATTTATTTAAAAGCACATTTATTTCTTTATTGGTTTATTAAAAATTGATTTTGTATATTTCTCTTACAAACTATAAATAAATTTGCTATCTTATATTTTATTAGATGATAATTTTTATGGAGTAATTTTCATATAGTTGAATGCAGAATTAAAAAAATCCATCTTAACAGTAATTTTCATTAATATATTTTTAATTGCCTTATATAATTCATCAATGTATTAATAAATCATTTATTCTTCCTATTTTAATTGGAAATATCATAAAAATAATAATTATATTGTTATTCCTATTTAACTTTATTCTGAAAATAAATAATATAAATTACAAAATATAAAGTAAGAATTCTGATCAGAAAGTTAATTAAAATTTATTTATTTTTAATTTAGAATTAGATTGTAATAAAATCCTAATATAGTAATGTAAATATAGATTTAATTATTCTAAAAATAGAATCTTAACCTTAAATTGTAGTAATCAGATTCATAATTATTAATATCTATAAATAATGGATTTAATTTGTTAGAATTAAGGCCATAAAAATTTGATTGAGTTTGTTTGCATGAAGGATTCCTGTTAAGAATGTCGTTTTTCTTGTTTTGAATGTTTATAAGGTGGAAATCATAAAAACCATATAGAAGATGTATAAAAATTTTCTGCATTTTTGAATTTAATAAAGCAATAATCATTTGATTATGATGATCTTATGAATAAGCTTGAAAATTTGATTAATCATATGAATAATCAATGTGGGGAATTAAAGAAAGGTTTAGAAATGAGATTTAAAGAGATAACATAATTATCTAAGAATTTTAATATAACTCACTTTAATGAATTTTCATCATGTTTCTTTTCATTTCAAAAGAATAAAGAGGAATTGTATTAATTAATCACAGAGAGTATAGGAAGTTTATCTGCAACTGTAAAAAATAGTAGAAAAATTTTATGTTTAGAAGAAAAAAGTCATTAATAAATAACTAATAAAGAATTGAAACCATTTAGATATGAATTGATAAATTAAATAAAAGATGAATATATATTTGCTTTTGCATTTAATAAGGAAGCTAATATTTTAGTAGCTGGATATGAATCAAGCAAAATAAAAGTATTTGATTTTTAATAAGGATAATTAAGATAAATGTAGGAATTAAGTAATCATAATAAAAGAGTTAGATGTATTTACTTTTTGTAAAAATCACTTTCATTTATTTCTGGCAGCTATGATAGGTCAATTATTCTATGGGAAGCATAAGAAAATAAAATTTTTAATTGTAAATAAGTACTTGAGGGACATACTGATGATATTAATTGTTTGATAATTAATAATAATGATGACGTAATTATATCAGGTAGTGATGATAAAACCATTAGAATATGGATAAAAAATGATAAATGGTAAAGTTTATAAACATTAACATATCATAATGGAAGTGTATTTTGTATTAGTATGAATGAAACTTAAAATTAATTAATTTCTTGTGCTGCTGATAATCTTATTGTTGTAAGTCAAAAAGATTAAGATAGTTCTTTATGGAATATTTAATAAACTATTAAAGTAGAATGGGGTTCAAGATTATGTTTTATAAGTAATACTTTATTTACTTATCAACCATATAATAAAAAGTAAATGATAATTTATGAATAAAATAAATTAAATTAATAATTTGTTAAATAAAAGGAAATTGCTGTAAAATTTGGAAAAGATTGTTTTTGGTATTTTCCTCAAAAATATATTTAATCAAAATAACTTCTTCTAAATAAAAATGGAAGTAGTTTAAATTTAATTAAAATAAAAGAAAATGGAGAATTTTTGTAAGAATAAATTATCGATTTCGATGATAATTATATACATGGAGCAATTTCAGATGATGGGGAGTATTTAATTACCTGGGATTGTAAATCTGAAGAAATTTAAATTAGATAATATTGTGAATGATTATCAATTAAATTGTATACACAAATATTAATTTTATTATTAGATAAAGACTATCTAATAATTATAAATTAATATTTTAATTTATTAATGTCTTATTATATAAATAAATATTAATATAAGTGTTTAGATGATGATTCTTTATATCAATTTTTCTTCTCTTCTTTTTCTCTCTAACCTTGCTCTATCTAAAAAGTTAAGTGTAAAATCTTCTTGCACTCTTTATTGAACTCTACTTTCTTGATATTCTTATTACTAAAAAGGAACTTATGCTATGTGCTAAATTCCTTGCAAATTATTAGATAATGTCTAAGTTTTGATCTTGAATTTAATTTAACTATTCAATTATTTTATCTTCTTCTGATACTCCTTTTGTTTAATTTATAAATGTATCTGGATAATCTAATCATATTTAATTAGACAATTACTTTTCATCTGAATTTTTAATTATTATTTTAATTATAAATTAATAATATTATCTTATTGAAGAAATATATTTTTACTTTAATCTTAAGTTCTTTTATATATGTATAATAAATATACACAGCTAAAATTCAAAAAAATTCCTGTGAGTAAGATAAAAAGGAAAGTTTATTTGAATGGACCTTATTAAATTTAAACAATTTTGATTATTTATTTTATCAATTTCACATCATTTTTAGTATAAAATCTAAGATTGATTAGAATTGATCTATCAAATAAATAATTAGAGAATAAGAAAGAAAGATTAAAAAAAATCTTTTTTTATGTAAAATTCTTTAAGTAAAAGAAGGAGAGTTTTTAAATTATTTGAAGGATTCAGAATTATATTTAATAAATCTAATTGATAAATATGTATTGTTATGTTTAAATTTATATATGTTCTATTTATTAAATCTTAATATTGAAATCAATTTTAAACAAATTAATTAATTTATTCTTATTAATTTTTAAGGATAATTTCAATTTAATCTAATAATTGATCAAATTTTAGTTTTTTTATTTTATCTTCTCCCACAGTTTCAATAATTTTCTTAGTCAATTCATCACCATATTCATTAAGAATTTTATAATAATCACATTTTTCTTTTTTATCACTATTATTAACCCAATCTTTAAGTGATATTTTATAAAATTTAGAATCCAAATCTAAATCAAATAATTCTTGATATGAAATAAGAATGATAGTTCCTTTTTGATTCAATTACAACAATTACTCTATACTTTTTATAAAAAGATCTTTTTATAATTGACATATAATAAATATGTAACTAATTCTTGTTTCATATTTTTTTAATAATAGTTATTCAATTTTATCTAATGGAATTTCAATTATTTAAATATCTTCAATTTCATTTCTTTTGTAAAATTTTAATTTCCTAAACTAATTTTTCATTAATATAAATTACTTTAAAATACTTAGAAACTTGATGAGCAAATTTTATAACAAATCTTTCTCCTTTTGATGTTCCTGCACATATTTTAAGGATTTATCTTTTTTTGGAATAAAAAGTCTCGGTTAATTTGTTATATATAACTTTTGCATCTTTTTTCCAAGCAATTATATATTATTCTTCCCAAGATAATTAATTAATTTCAACTAGATTACCATTTTCAACATTATTAAATATTTATGATTAAGTAGAATTTTATGAAAATATTTGAAATTTCTCTGATTCTGTATGTTAAATGAAAGTGGAAACATCATCTTGTAATTTTTCTGCCAATTCACAACAGCAAACTCTTAGAATTCCATCTTAAGCTAATTAATCTAATTTAATATTAATAAATTCTTTATTCTTTTATTCTTATACTTAATTTAAAATAACTTCAAAAATATCTTAACATTTATAATTTGAATCCCATAGATGTGATAATTTATCATGTATTTTATCAGATTCTTCACATTTACACTAAGATTTATGTTTAAAACATAAATCATTATACTTTCCAAATATCTCTTTGCATGCCTCTCTATGAGAATGACAATGACAACATTGAAAGTTTTTATCTCCAAGTTGTTCTTCTACATTTTTTTTGGCTTCTTCATGACTAGTCTATAATGTTTTCTTTGATAACAAATTTTCATATAAAGATGAGAAATAATATATGCCTGCATCATCTAACATTTTGAGTTCTTTATCTACTGCTATTGTTGTAGCATATTATTAAATATTTTTAGCTATTTCTCCAGCATAACAACAAGCTAAAAATAATAATGATTTTTTAGATTCTTTCATGATTTATTATAAATCTTCTCTATAGACAAAATCATCTGTACAATTATTCTCAAATTATAAATATTGATTTAGTTTATTTGTATCATTTTCTCCATGAGCAATAATGTGGATAATTTTTGGATTATATTTTAGAACCTATCTCAAATTCTATTTTGTAGCTTATGTTATAAGATATGTAACTTTTTTGTTTAAAGCAGATATCCTTTATTTAAAATTCTATATATCATCATAATATTAAACTGGACTAACACGTTTCTCATTTTAATTTACTAATGGATGACTATATAAAATAGCAATATCAATCTCTGGATATTAAGGTTGGATTTAATAAAATTGCTTAAGTTGATTTACTTTCATTTTAAAATTGACGAAATTTTCATTATTAATTCTTTATTCAGTTTTTGCTTTCTCTATATTGCCTTATAAGTTGTTTTTTTCTAATTCAATATTTTCCAAAAGGTTTTAATATTTAAGATATTCTTGATAATAAATTTAAAGCTTTAATCTAATAATCAATGGAGATATTGAATTCTCATCTTTAAACCAAAATTATCCATCAAGTTTAATGAAATTATTATCTGTACATAATAAGTCATAAATATCCACAAATTATTATGTAATGTAATTGTAAAATGCTAAATTATTATGCACTCAATTACTAAAAATCAATTTCCCTTTCACAATTTTTTCCTCTTTTATAAAATTCTTTTTAATATAATAATCTAATCTAATCACATATATTCCATAACTCTGTGCATAAATGTTCAAAGGAAAAATATGTTAACTATCTTCAAAGATTTCTGGATTTTCAAAATATTCTAACTCATCATTTTGCTATATTCCTAAAATTTGAAGTCGAACACAAAATGGAGTTTTCATTAAAATATTTTAATTTTATGATAAAAGTAGAAAAATCTTATAGAAAATTAAAAATTTAATAATAAATTCTTGATATATCCAATCAAATTAATTATTCCTCTCTTTCCTGAATATTCTTAATAAATAGTTCCATAACTAATATTAACCATGTCTTAACCTTTAATCAACATTTTCCATCCTTACAAATAGAGTATTTTAATAATCTTTTCACTATCATAATTATTACTTTATTTGTCTTAATTTACAAGTGTATAAATTTAAAAACATTAAATAATTATGTTCTAATTGTTATTAAAAATATTTTTTTGAATACTTAAAATTCTATAATTCGGTTTCAGTTATATATCTTATTATTATTATATTTTTTCATTAATATTTTTAAGATTATTTATATTATAAATTTAATGAGATATTATTTATTTTATATTATATTGTTTATATTATTAATGTGAAATAACACCTAATTTGATAATAGTTTGTCATTTTGATTGAAACCTAATATGCATAATATATATTAATGATGCGTTAATTCTAAATAGTTGTCTTAAAAATTAAACAATTTTAAATTGATATCATATTATTTATTATTATGTAATATTTAAATTTGTACATACAACCAATATCAAACACAGTAGTATTTCCATACTCTAGTTTGTAACTCTATGATGTGGATTGCTATATTCAATTAGTACATTCTCAATATATTGGATTGGTTTCATAAATCGATGACAACCACCCAAATATTCAAACTATATCCTAATATAGTTAATATGGGACACTTGTGCATTTAGTAACAAAATAAGAAGAGTAATCTAATTATTGCAAAGCCTTTGCATTTGCTAGATTTAGAATAAATTCGTTTTGCCAAATTTCACCATTCTTAATAGCAAACGTTGAAATATTGAATGATGAGATCTAAGATACCAATACTGAAATTTTGAGTGCATTTAAGGATGCAGTAAAAGTAAATTGTAAATTTAATATTTAGATGTATATGGAAAACTTTTCACTTTTACCAAATGCTCTTTTGAAACAAAAGATAGATGAAGAAGATAACATTATTAAATTATATTATCAAGTGGCAAACAGAATACAAATTCCATTTAATCAAAAACTTAGATTGTTATAAATGAATGGTAACATTGAAAGAATATCAACTATGATTTAATATTTGGATCATAAAATGACATAATATTCAACAAGCAATGATTTAGAATAAAAACTTAAACAAGAACTTATGTCTGAAATGCAAAACAATGGAGATAACTTAATTAATTAAACTGAATAAATTGTTCCATAAATCCAAGAATAAGAATTGGATTATTAAAAGTAATATGTTTAGTCATTACCATGGGGAATTATACATCCAGAAACTGTTACTATATCTTAATGCAAAGAAAATCTAGATAAAAGACATTATGGTTTAGATATGGCTAAATAGCGTATTCTATAATACTTAGCAATTAAATTTTTAACAAAATCTACTGGATCTATACTTTGTTTACATGGTCATCCTGGAGTTGGAAAGACATCAATAGCTTAGAGTATAGCTGAATCTTTGGGGAGACCTTTTCAAAAGATATCGTTAGGTGGAGTATCAGATGAAGCTTAAATAAGAGGTCATAGAAAGACATATGTTGGAGCTTAGGCAGGCATGATTATGGAAGCAATTAAAAAAGCAAAATGTGTTAATCCAGTTATCTTACTTGATGAGATAGACAAGATTAATCAACATACTGTAGGTTCAGCTTTGTTAGAAGTCTTGGATCCAGAATAAAATAAAACATTTATGGATAATTATGTAAATGAGGAATTCAATTTGAGTTAAGTTCTATTTATTTCAACAGCCAATTATATAGATTCTATATAACCAGCATTAAGAGATAGATTAGAAATGATAGAAATTCCATCTTACACAATTGATGAGAAAGAGTAGATTGCTATATAACATTTAATTCCAAAATAATAGGAATTAAATGGAATTGATGGGAAGATAAATTTCAGTAAAGATGTAGTTAGATATTTAATCACAAATTATACTAATGAGAGTGGAGTTAGATCGTTAGAGAGACAAATAAATTCTATTTTTAGAAAGATTGCATTATAATAAGTTAGAGGAAAGAGAAAGGGATTTTATAATATTAATAAGGGATTTATTAATTAATGTTTGGGGGAATCCACAATTTGTTACAAGAATATTAAATTATAGAGTATTGGAATGTGTAAAGGGTTGAATGATGGAGTGAATATTTTGGAAGTAATAAAAATAAAGGGAGAAGGCAGTTTATTTTAATAATCTAAGGATCAATATATTGTTGAATAAGGAATAACTGCTTTATCTTATTTGAGGAATTGTTTTAAATATATTTAATTTAAGAATTGGGATATTTATATAGCAAACTAGAATTGTTTAGGTGTTTGTCTCGTTATTGCAATGGTTTCATTATTTATGAATAAAAAAGTGAAATCAAGTGTTGCATTTGCTGGAGAGTTAAGTTTAAAAGGTTTTATATTTAGATAAGACAATTTGAGAGATAGTATCATATAGGCAGCTGAATCTGGAATTGAGAGGTATAAATATAATATTAATTTAAAAGCATAATTATTCCATCTTAGAATGTGAATGACATATAGAACATAGAATCTTCAATTAAAAAGAGAATTAGATTAGTTGATCATATTGAAGAAGTTTTTTAATTGGCATTTGAAGATGGATTTACTTACTAACACTACCCTAATTTATGAAATATATATTTATATAATTAAATATCTTATTTTGAATAAAGAATTAATCACATATTAATATCTCCTTAATAAATAGCTGATTCTAGATTTAATCTCATTTTTTAACATTTTTAGGAAGTATTTTGTATATTCTCTTTATTTTTGATAAACTATCTTTTTTAATCATTAATAGATATATCCTATTGTTGTACATTTATTATTTCTATTTAATCAAATAATTTGATCAAAGATATGGCCAAAGATTCACAAGCATGTTCAAAGAGTTCCTGATAATGATCAAATAATTTGGCTGACTTTTAATTAATTTTAGATATATAGTAAGCAATACAATAAGACCTTATATATATTTATATATACCATTTTAATACAATTCTAGATTGAATTAATTCATTAACAACTTCTTCTAAGAATTGAGTATCATACTTATTAAAGTCATAATAAATAAATAATTCATCTATGTATTCATCCTATATCTTTTTTAAACTCTATTCTGCTTTTTCTTTAGCAGCTTATGAACTTTAAAATCTTTCATAATAAAAATTATATCTTTATAATAATTCTTTTTCCTTTTCAATAATCTAATTAGGTGGCACATATTTATTGCATTTAAAATGATCTTTATGATCAGGTTCCCAAGGTTAAGAACAAACATAACAAAAAGCTTTTCCACATCCACCTGGAGGTTTACACATCATGAAATTACAACCAAATGATCTTTCAACTGGTTTTTTACAAAATGGACATTATTTTGTATTAACTATAATCCATTTTATATTAGCTTCATCCTTTTTCATTTCTTAAAACCATTTTTTGACTAAATCACAAGGACATGGAGGATGTAATTCTTCTTTACAATAGAAACAGAACTTCTTTGTACAAATACATGTCACTTCTTTAATTGAAGTGAATTTAGGTTTTACAATCTTATTACAATTAACTGCAGGACAATATGCCATATATCTTGAACATTCAACAAATTTTTTACATAAAAGATCTTCAAATTCAATTAGATTTGAAAATCTTTTAATCATTGAAAAAGGCAATCTGTAATTACAACCATTCCATAAACATTTGACAATTAAGAATTTATCTTTTTATACTCTTTAAGTTATAGTCTATTTTATACAAGATTCACAAAATCTATGTAAACATCCTAATTTAATTAATTATTCTTAGCATAAACATACTGAACAACTATCTATAAGTTCATTATATTTTATATTTTCATGATTATTAATAATTCCTTTAATTTTGAATTCAGCCAACAATTTTTCTGAATTAGAGTAATATTATTAAATTATATCTTCTTTATTCCAATTGTATTACATAAGCAACTTCAGTATTTTTTATTTATTACTTCTAATGTGTTGTCTTCATTGAAATACAAAATCTCTGAAAGCTCTTATACTTCTTTATTTATCACTTTCATAACATCTTTCATTTCCAAAATCTCTTCACTATTTATCTTAATTTAAATATTAATATACCCTTAAATAGAGTTTTATTGTTAAAGAATTAATGGATCAAAATCTTCTTAATCTATAAATTCATTTTACTAATAGTAATCATCATCTTCATAATCTCCCATATATTTTATATAATAATTATTATAAAAATAATCAAAATGAATGACTATATGGATTATATTAAAGGAATCAAAATTTATATTGATGATTCTGCAAATAAAATATAAGACAGAGTTGCTGAAATAGTGAGAATTGATGATATTAAAGATTTAAACAAAATGTAAACTAAAAAATATCGAAATCGCAATAATAATAAATAACCTTCACTTGTAACTTCAGGGGAAGTATCATAAGCTGAAATTGAATTACAAAAATTATAATAATAAAATCATCAACTCTATGAGAAAATGAAAGAATTAGAGGAATAGAGGACGAATCTTAAATTTTAATTAGGAAAATATCGATAAATGATAGCTGATAAACGAAAATTGTTAAATAAAGAATGTAGAGATGGATTCTAATTACTCACTTAAACTAGAAGACCTAGAATCATGAGTGAGAAAAAGAGTAAGTCTCCTTAATTATTTCTCACTTCCACTTCTACTATGTCATAAAAGAAACTAACATAAGTACACATTCTATTAAGAGATGTAATGAAAGTTGAAAGATAACCTCCCTTTATAAGAAGTAACAGGAGATACACATTTGATTAATTTATGCAATTAAACAAAACAGAATATTTTAGCTACATACACAATCATTTACCAAAAATTAAATAATACTTTCTTGAATTCTCATTCAAAAGAACAAAATAATTTAAAACTCTGTGATTTTTTATTAATTCACTACCTTATTTTTAATTATTTCATCAAATATATATATATTTTATAAAATAACAACTCTTCTTTAATTTTATAATCTTATTTATAAATACAATATTTATAGATTAGAAAACATTACTATTAAATATTATAATGAAATTGTATGATATTCTATATTTTGATATTAGAATATTCATTACTCAAGTTTATCAGTTTAACACAATCTTTTTGATTTCAGTTTCTTCTACTTCAGAAGGTTCATTAGCTTAAATTTCTTTAGAAAGTCCATTCAATTTCTTCTTTAAAGCTTCCTTACCTGCAGCATAAGCCATCTTTTATTTAACTGGTTAATTTGTATCTGGTGACCAGAAAATGAAAACCAATTTCTCTACTTATCTAGGTGGAACATCATCTGTTTAAGCATGATAATCATAAACAGCATATCGTGACTTTTATTTTAAAGAATAAATTTACTTCATTTTGAAGATGACTAACAAATTCAGCATAAGTACTATCTCTTTCTCCTTTGTGATCAACTACAATCTTAAGAATATATAATGAATTTTACTTCATTTTTATCCTTATCTAACTTATAAATAACATATCTGTATTGTTTGCCTAATTTCAGATTATTGAATTCTGTAACACAATCATCACTAACATTTGTACCTACGTTCATAATTATATCTTAATATTATATTTAAATTTTTAGTTAATTAAATCACATTATTCATTTCTTTAATGGTACTTTCTTAACATTAGGTGATTTAGATCTCATTTAGGTTTAAGGTCTTTAACTCTTCAATAATTATGGTTTTTTATTTACTATTTATTTATTATTATTATTATTATTATTTAATGTAGTAGTAGTAGTATTTTACATAGTTTTTGTTTTTTTATTAGAAATATCTTTTAATTTAGATGATGGTCTTTAACTACTTCTAGATGGTGAAACAAATTCTATTTATTCTTTTTATCTTGATGAATCTAGAAAATCAGATCCAGGGTTATATGGAACATGAACTTATTCATGAAGAAAAGCATATTCAGTTGGTTAAATAGATTGATGTTTAGAAACTGAAGATTATTAAGATTTTTATGAGTATCTATGATTTGGAGATTATGAAATAGTTAAATATTAAAGTGAATTAGCCTATTATGGAACTTATGTTGAATAAAAAGCTTATTATTAACTACTTTGACTAGATTGGAATGTCTATAAATTAATAGGTATTTATGGTTTTTATTGAATTTGTATTTATTATGATGGTGTTTAATTCATAGATCTATTATTATTTTATAATTTGACATTAGGTTATGAATTTTTTTGAGATAAAAAAGGATGTACTTTCTTCATTGATTAAGGTTCTTCATTTTCTTAATTAGATTTTAACTATTATTTTTATAATTAATTTTCTTATTAAAAAAACATTGGATGTTATTACATAGATGTCAAAGTTGGATTTGAATCTTTGAAATTACATGATTATAGTGTAAATTATTGAGATTATTAACATAATAATGGATGTTATTAGTTTGATTACATTATAAATGATTATGCTTATGATTGTTATTCTTTTACAATTACTCTTGATTAAATCTCAATTGCATGTTCATTCAAAATATCATTTGGATTACTTGGAATAATGATTTTATTATTGCTATTAGTTGATTATTACATCAATTCTACTATACTCTCCTCATATATTTATAAATAAGTTGGTCTATCTTCTGGTTTAATTGATAACATTCTAGTAACTAATTTATTATTAGCTCTAGATATCATTTCATTTAATACTTCTAATTATATTTAGATTATTAATGTACCTTAATTTATTTAATATTCTTAGAAATCATAAATCTATTAAATTTATTCTTATAATATGAGTTCCAAACATACTAATCCAATTGTGAAAACTTCACTCTTCTCTTTATTATATTCTGGTTTGAATACCTTTCTTCCCAACTGAAAGAATAATTCAGGTGATAAGTAACAGTATTCTTCAAAACCACTCAAAAATCGATTATATTAATCAACATTTGGTAAAAGTAACTTCACTTAATTTGTATACATAAAAGATTAAGGTCTCAAATCTCCATGATATTTATCACGATTCTGCAATTCAATTAAAGTATGAATGATTTATTATAAAAACTAATACCAAGGCAAATTAGATGGTAGTTAACTTCCAAATTCAAAGATAGCATCAATTTTAAATAAATTACTACACAAAGTTGACTCTTCCTCTTTTTGAATATCTAATAAGCGAATCAAACCTGGCATCTAACTAATTTATTAATATTATTCTAATCTATTTAACTCTTTTTAATAATGCATCTCACTTTAATATACTTTATGCACTACAGCAACTTCTTCCATTTAATTTGTATAAACTTCAATATCACAACCAAAACTATAAGTTATTCTACATATAATTACATTCTGCTTTCTCTTGAATCAACCTTTTACCAATTTTTCAAAAAATGTTATTTGGACTGTTAAACTTAACCCATAAATTTAATTAACGATATTTAGTATAAAATGTATCAATAAATATAATCATTTAAAAAATGTTAAGTAAAGATAAATATAATAAAATAAAATAAAGCACTAATAGATTATCATCTTATAGATGAAAAATAAAAGATAAAATTTATCTTTAATATTTCTAATTTATATTATCTATATGTAAATTTCCTATTATAGAAATTAAATATTCATATTTCAATATAGAAAAAAGAAAGAAAAAAATAGTTAAATATGAAGAATTTTTGTAGTTCTATATAATTATCTTATTTTATTAAGAAGTATAAATTTTTAATCTTATTATTCAGAAAAGATTATTAATTATTGTATATTCTTTTAACAATCTTTACAAAATATAATAAAAAACGAATCTAAAATAAATACATTTTTTTTAATAGATTATTTTCTGATTAAGTCCATACTCAAACTTAATACAAAAGTAAACAGAAATTTATTTATTTTAATTATATATATATGAATTTTTCTTAATGTCCAGATGAGTTCTAAGTTGAATAGTAATTTAATAAGATAACACATAAAACAATATATTGTGATTTCAATTATGAGGTATAATAATGTTACCTTTGTTAAGGAATTAGAGTAAAAATATAGGTTCAATTATCCACTTCATAATAAACCATAAATTGATTAAAAGAAAGAAGAAACTTTTAATACTAAATTACCAAAGTATGAAGCCTACATTGAAGCATCCAATTAATAAATAGAATTACCTTTACAACCATCACCTTAATAAGTTAGAGCAATCCAAAATTAAGGCAAAATATAATTCTGCCGCCAATAGAATGAATAATAAAGCAAAGAAATTAAATCAATACTAAACTTCTAAGTGGATACAAAATTCATCAAAATGAAACCCAGCAAGAAAAAAACTCAAAGATAATATTAATAGATTCGAAGACCTCAAATTTAAATTATACCAAATAATTGTAAATATTAACGAGTTTCTGGTTTGAGTTAAATTTAAAGTCTAAGTATGCATCAAAGTTTCATTCTCAATAATAACATATCAGAAATAACTTTTCAATAAGAATCTCGTCTATCCAAATTTCAATAATTGTTGAAGAAGGCTCCAAAACCTGTTGAAATTGAATAATATAGATCTCTTAAATATTTTGGTAATAATGAATTATGTGAGGGAATATTGGATGGAAAGATTGTGCAATTTATTAAAACTTAATAATCTAATGTGATTTTATGATTTGTTATACACTTTTAATATAACCTCAAAGTTTGGCATCTTTTGGTAAAAGATCTGGGGTGAATTTGGTTGCAGCAGCCATATTTCCCTTGATCTTCATCTTTCCTTACATGAAGGCTTATTAAGGATTCAATTTTCCTTAAGCCATAGCCATCATATCATCATCTACCATTGTGAATGTAGCATCAGCTGTTCCAACACGTCCTTTAGCAATTGACTAAATTATATATATATTTTGCATACTCCTGAGCCATTCTTGAGATCAACAGTCCAAACTTCTGGTGTTTCTCCTTTGGCCTTTGAAACTTCAAAGAAATAGATTGCATTGATTTTCTTAACCAATTCAGTACCTTATGATTTGATGAATGGATCCATCTTTTCAAACAATGCTGCAGATTTCAAAGCCATTAAAATTATTTAATAATTTATTTAATATATATTTTTCTAATTTTCTTAACATTATATAAACATTTCATAAATCATCTTCATCATCATCTTAACACATATTCATTAATTAATTCATTAAATTGGCAGCTTTTTCTCTTCTCTCCTCATCTGTCATTTTTGAAGTCCTACATAATATATATAATCAAATACCTAATTTTGGTCATATCATGTATTAATTATGCAAATTGATCATCTTCATATTCTAATTAATCAAGACCTTATTTTTTATTTTAGATCACTTTTGTTTTATTAATATTTTCCTTCTTTTCTTATGATTTGGGTCTCATATATGTCCAAGTATTACATTCAATTATTTCTATAATTCTAGGAAATCCAAGAGTTTCATCCTATTATTCAGATAATTATTTAATTTATTATTGAATTGGTGGATTTTCTAAATCTAAGTAAATTTATTCAACAAAGCTTTCTAATTTCTTTTCTTCATTCTCTAATAATTCAAAGTTTATTTTAACTCCTTCTTTCCTATTATAAATAATAGCCTATAGACCAGGTTATATTTCATTTAAAATTTGATCACACAAATTAATAAATTAATCTAATCCATTCATATTATTGGCATCCACAATAAATATTACACCATCTACTTTAATTTTTTATAATTATTCCAAAGCATTTACTTAATTAAAATAATTGTATTTTATTGTATGTAAATCTACATCACATGTATAATATTTGGTATTAATTAAACTATTAAATTGATGCCAATTATTACAGTTAGGTCCCTATCTTTTAATGTTCTTCATCAATCTTATCAAATATTAATTCATCATTATTAAAATGTTTTATTAAATCTAAATTATTAAAACAAGGATGTACACTAAATTAATTTGATTGAGTAAGAGTGTTCTGGAGCAATTATAATGAGATTAGAATTGGTTTAATCCATTCTTAATATTGTAATATATATAAATTATTAAAAACTATACAATTGGTATGTTTATTAAAATATATATATATATATAACATAGCATTCAAACAAGCATTTTAACAACTTATTATGGTTACAATTCAATCATTTCCCAAATATGGCCAAATTCATCAGAACTAGGATTTGAATGTGGAGTTAAAGCAAATTAGTAATCCATTGACATGATTCTTTCATCATCTCCATCAATAATTTTTGATCTATCAGTCTATTTTGATATTTCAATTATATGATACCTTACTAACATAACAAAAGATTTCTTAAGTTTTTATTGTAAAAACAAAAACAGGTAATTTAACAGAATCAGGTATACTAGCTCTTGTAAATCTAATTTCATCTACATTCCATAATTATTTATGTTTAGGTTCAGATTTCTAATATAAAAATGTAAAAAATACTTCAGCTTCTTATTTTTTTAATAATACTTTAAAGTATCCTAAAGCAGCTTCACCACATACTTTTTAAAGAGATTCTAAATCTCCTAATAAATATAGATTGTAGATTTATTCAAAGATCACTTTTGCTTCCTTTTCTAATTCATATAAATCAAAATCTGGATCAATCATTCTCATTTATCTAATAGCTCTGGCAACATCACTTTCATTTGTAACAGTTTTCTAATTGATTAATAAATTGTATTACTGCTGCATATAAAGAAACTTAAACAAAATTACTTGGATGATTTTAAATTTTATCAGATAAGTCAGCTTTAAATTATTTCATTTCTGCTTTGAATGTAATATATTCTTTATAAGCTTCACTATTGACTATATGTTATCCTTATTCACTTTATTTGAGTCTACTTTAAATCTTCTAAGCAATTTTAGATTTAAGAGATGCTTCTTCACTTGTACTTTAATCAGTAGCTTAGACGGCATTTCTTTTCCATTCTGGAATTTTCTCTTAAATCTAAATAAATTTTAATTCATACAGCTGCCAATTCTTCTTCAGTCATTTAAGCAAATTTCTCTTCTTCTTTCTTTCTCTCTGCTAACTTTGCCTTAACTGTTTCCATTCTTGCCTTTACTTCATCATCATGACTAGGAAATGTTTTTCTCCATGCTAATTTTGCCATGTTTAAACATGTTTTTCCAATACTTGTCTCCTTATTTTGATTAGCATCTGTTTTAAATTTCACTGCTGATCCTTTCACCTTTTCTGTTAATTTTGTAGCTGAACCAAGAGCTGATTCTTTGACTGTATGTAAAATATCTATAACTAAAGATGGTTATTTCTCAATTTCTTCTGTTTTTTTATTTTCACTACAGAATTTATAGAGAACTCTTCTTTAGTTGTAAATGTTAAGTCTTGAAAGTCTATGTGCTTATCTAAATGGGACAAATAGGTTAACAAAGGATATCATTAAATATAAAAAATTTAATTTAGGGTAATAAATCACTTAATTTTGCATATCTATAAAATTTTATAATCAAATTAAAATTAATATATATATATTTAAGAATATTTAAAAATCAATAAATTTTATATATATTACAACCAAGTAAATAGATCATATAACTGAAAATTACTTTAAAAAATTTATATTACTTTCTAATATTGATGAAATTACTAATTTATTTTTCTTTATTATACTAATATAGATAATATAAAATGTTAATAAAAATAAGAATTTATTAAAATGCTTTAGAGATAAATAATCCTTAGAAAACAAATTTTAGTTATGATCATAATATTATATTGAGTTTATTCTTCTTAATTATAGCAATCTGAAAAGTATTGTTTACAAAATCGAGAACTTAATCTGCCTAAGTGAGTGTATACTTTTTTTTAAGCTTATCACTTTAATCAGACTACTATTAAAGTAAGGATTCTTCTCTTAACTCTTAAATTATTTTTTCTATCAATTATGGTTCATCTTCTTGCTTTAAATTTTATAAAATTTATTTCTTAGATTGCGTTTAGTTTATTTCAAATCTCGTTGATTCTCTTTTAATTATTGTATGAAATCTATTTTTTAAACAATTTTCTGTTCTTAGATTCTCAAAATCTCTTCTTGAAATTTATGACCATTTCTTTCCATATTTTAAAACAGCTACCAACAATTTAATTTCATCCTCTTTGTACCATGGACCTCTAAAAAAAATATTAAATACTTTTTATACCTCTCTACTTATGGATTCAATTTATTTATCCATCTCTCTCTACATTATTTACCCAATCTAACATGGGATGAGTTACATAATTTACTCATCTCCATAGCTATCAAACTCCATTTATTGCATTTATTTTATTCTGTATATTTATCGTATAATTAACTCAAAACTTAATCCTCTTCTCTAGTCCAAGGATGATCTACTATTGAAGTTGCTTAACTCTCTATCCATTTACTTCTACATACTTTCCAATGTCTATTGAATAATATCTATCCTATTTAATCCCAATCATAGACATTCTATATATTAAATTTATAAATACCATTTAAAGAGGCTGAAGCTTATGAACATTACAATATAATCCAACAATAATTCTCAGCAAATCAAATTCCAATAAATCCATTTTTTTCTATTTTCCAATATTAGTAATATTGAATTCATTGTGTGCCTTCTCTAATTCTTTGTAAGAAATCTAAATTTCAGTCCAATCATTTATTGTAATGTTGGATTATTGCAATATGATATGTTATTGATCTTTTCTTTGAACACTGGTATCATATAGCTTTTTGAGCTTCTCTAATCTAGTAACAAATTTGCAATCTATTTAAATAGAATGAGTAGGAGAAACTAAATCTTCCATTATTTTAATGTTAAATACATCATATCACTATTTTTTAAATATAGTTCTAAAAAACGTAATATAAGTTAAATTGTCTAAAATGTTTTTTTTGTTTATAATGAATATATTAATTTAATACATAAACTGATGATTAATCATTTTAGTTAATTAAATATAAAAAAATAAAATTAAAAAATTAGGTACTACTTCAAAGTAATATTTTGTAGTACTATTGTGCATAACCTTATTTTAAGTAATTCCTTTGAAAAATACAATTTGTTAAGAAATCTAATGATAAGAAAAAAGGCAGTTTTTCTTCCTATTAGTTAATTTAAAAATACTTGTTCCCTCTATTGCTCTCCAAATCTTATTCTGTGTCAATAAAATTAACATTTATAGTGAAGAATTATTGAATTTAAATTTTATTTAAGAGTATATTTCCTACTTCTACTTTGCTATATAATTATCTACAAAATTTTGTTTTCTTTTCTAAAATCAATTAAATCACAATTATATTAAGTATATCCATATACTCATCTAATTATTAAAAAGAATGTTGAATAATTTTTTGTTAAACAAACACATATGTTAAAACTTATAATTTTATTGATGTACATGAATTTGAAAAATCAATAAAATTATTTTTTAATAGGAAAAAAATCAAAGATAATTAATAATACTAACTTCATATACAAATTCAAAGATTTTCTTATAAATTTGAAAATCTTAATTAAGAATTAGGAATAATAAAAAAACTCATCCTTGATATTCCTAAAAAAATCTTTTAGGCTCAATAATTCGTAATTTAATATATTAATCAATAAATCAATAAATCAATTTTTGTATTTATTTTAAATTTATGATCATAATACAAGCATCTTCAATATTTGCATATACATACATAATTTTCTAATTATGATTATGCATCTAAGGTACTCCTTTGATAATATCAAAATTAACACTTGAATTATAGGATTTAGTGATTAGTTTGAAACTTTTAAATTGGTCTAACAATATATCGTATATGAAATATATTGGAAAATGAGAATGATTTTTATATTAATTCAATTGAGAGAGGGGGATGAGATAAAGTTAATGATAATTTAAATATTAAATAAAAACAACTTAGATTAAATGGTGATAAAAGATTTAAAAATGAGTGAATAAATTGATTATAAATAATTTAATGTCTTAAATAAAGTTTTGCTTATACCACTAAGTGTATTTTGGATAAGGTGTGTACATGGCTAGTTCTTAAAATAATTGGAAAATAGATGAGAGTAGTAGGATGACCTGTATTAAAGTAAAAAAGTATTTAAAAATGTAGTTTAATCGATGGGAACTTGAGTTATAGGTAACTGATGCATAATTGGAATATAAATATGTGATTGCAGATTATGATAACCCATCTTTACACTAATAAATTTGGGAAAGAGGTAACAACAGAAATGTAATTAAATCTAAATCAAATAGTTCAGAAACTATAAGTATACAAACATATTCATTAATATCATAGAAGATATATGGGAGAAAAGAATGATTTCTCTAAAATTAATGGCTTTAAATAATAATTCTTTAGCCATCGTAATAGGGAACTTCCCAGCTTTGTCAACTCCAATTCAAATGAAATTGTTAGAAAAGAAATAGATGAAGTATTTTACTGCTAAATTTTACATTGACATCACTAATTCGGATTAAGTGATTCAATTTCAATACTATTTGCTTATAAAAGATCCTAGTAATAGAATTTTGTAAATTTTAGCCCCTATGGAATTCATAAGTAATCCAATAACTCTTGGCATTTCGGAAAGAAATTAAGAAATATGTCAAGCAATCTCATTTTATAGAATTGCTATATGTTGATTATAATTATTTATTTATAGATTTATTGAAAATTTTAAATTTTGAATATAATATATATATTGAATATCATATACCATAACAATAATCCATTTGAGATAAAAAATTAAGATAGAGTAGATTAGAATATATTGAATGTTAGTATAAAATAACTTATACAATTATTAGAATTTTAAAATAGTAAATTTAGATAAAAATCATAAGATATTATTCTTAATAATTCTAGTTATAATTGAGTTTAAACATAAATTAAAAATCAGCATTAGCATTATTAATATAATGAAAGTGTCTTAAATCTTTTTCAAAATAACTAAACAAGTTCATTATGGACAAGCCATATATATAGTCTTCGATTTCTAAAATTGGGATTTAACAAAGGCTATTCGAATGGAATGTTTAAAGGTATTGCTAAATTTCATTTAATAATAGAATGATTAATGGACTAAAGTAATCGATATCTCATGTTCATTCTTCGAATATAAGTATGTTATTGGATAGTACAATAACATATTTGAGTAGGAAATTATTTGGGAATAAGGGTAAAATAGAACTTCAGAAAACTTGAAAATATTGGAAATGAATTAAAGTAAAATTTAATTCGAAGATGTTTGGGAGAAAAGAAATTTAATGTTCTTCTTACTTGACAAAAAATTGAATAAGAAAAGTAAAAAGAATCATGAACATGACATTTTATTATTTGGATAAGCAAAGGCCTTAAATTCACCAGGTAGATTTACAAAATGTTAATTAAACTAAAATACACAATTATACTTTATTATTTTACAACTTGAACTTGATGAAATTATCAATCCAAAGGAGGTTCAAATCTATATGAAAGTCCAATTAAAAAAAAGTAATTATAATATAAATTTTAGGATATATAGAAATAATCTCAAAAAGTATTAAACTTAACTTCAGAAATTAACCTGTAAATATATGCGAAGATATCTTAATACACTCTTAATGTTATTTTCTCAAATGAATATAAATCTATGTTTTTATATAAATTTTAATTTACTTTTTTTAAATAATAATAAACTAAATAATCATATTCATTTAAATTTATTAAGTTCACTTAAAAATAATTATTAAATACCTTATTTCTTTAAAAAATAATAAGAAAAGCAATTGAAATTAACATTCTTCATTATTTATGTAAATTGTAATCCCGAAACTAAATTTTAACGAAGAATTAGATCATAAAGTTTAATACTTTTATTTTTAATTAAATTATATTATTATTATAATAATTATTTTTCAAAATTAAATCAAATAACTTTTTTTTAGATACCTACCATTTATAATTGAGAATACTTTGAATCCTTTATCCTATTCCCTTTTATAACCTTATTTTTTTATTATTCTTTCAGGAATGTTAATTATTTTTTTTTTTTTTTCATTTAAATCAATTAGGATATTAATGTAAAAATTAAATAATATAATTTTATAATGAATTTTAATATTTTCAGATCATTCTCATAATTTAAGCAATTTCTTTTGATAAGATTTATAAGGAAGGTGTTACAACACTGATGATAGCTGCAATCATTGCAATTATAATGATGATAATCAACATTTACCATGGGAAAACAAAAATCAATGGCAATTATGTGAATAAGGTCTATTATAATGCCATTGATTATCCAATAATAAATCCAACCATTAATCCAATAAAACTTGAACTAAAAACTAAAGTGAATGCTTCCATTATATAGACTATAGTAATAGACATTTTAGTATTGCCAATAGCTCTAAGCACTGAGATTTCTTTAACTTATTCTAACATATTGGCAGTCATCGATGTCATAAGACTAAAGAATGATAATACCATAACAACACCTGTTAAAAAACTGAATATAATTTAAATAAGATCCTGACTTTATTTTATAGAAGTTTCGTAATCTCTATAATCCCATATTTTAGCAGAGACTCCTTTAGAATCAATATACTTTTTAAAATTACCATACACAGTATCAATATTACCTGAATTGGAGACAGATATGAGTAATCTTTTCATTGGATAATTTTCTACTGCATCTATCAAATTTCCACAAAGTCTTCTAAATGTTGGTAAGGAAACAACAACATTTTATTCTTAAACACTTGGTAAACTACTAAATTTAAGAGCAGGTGCTGAAGTAATAATTGAAGATGCTCTCATCTAATGATATTGACTAAATGTATTATTATAGACAATTAGAAGGAAGGTGCTGTCAATATCAATTTTGATATTAAGTTAATCTGCATAACTAGTACCAATAATAGCACTTTGACTTCCTCTACTTGTATATAACTATTCGACTGGATTCAATTTACTATTAATTTGATCTTCAACTTTTAAAAATTGATTATATCCCATATCAAATAAAGTATGTGAGACACCTACAATTTTAGGTCTAAGTTAATAAACTTATCCTAAATGAGTCATGTATGCAGTTGAAAATCCAAGTCTTTACATATAACTATCCAAAGAATCAGTAACCCATGCAAAACTAGTTATGTTGCCTCCTAATTCTAATATAATATTTTCAAATTCAAATGGTGATAGATATCCATTAGAAGAAGTGATCTCAAGTTTGCAACCATGTTATTAAAGAGTCTACGTAGCTTAATTCTCAATCTGTACACTCATACCAACAAATATGAAAATCACAAAAGCAATTGATAAGGCATACATTAAAGCTGTTCTTCTATTTTTTATCTATTTAATATATAAATATTTATGTATACCCTATGTGCTGCAAGATTCTTCAACACCATTGTTTTCTTGGCTGAACTGGCCCAGAATAAAAATATATAAACAGTAAATCGTTCAGCAAGGTATTAAATATTGAATGCAAATATCACCAATCCTAATAACATACCACATAAAATAAAGAAGAATATTGACAAAAGCAATCCAATATTAAATGACAATAAAGCCAAAGGCAAAAAATAATAGACACAAATACCGAACAATGAAGCAATTATTGCAAATTAGATTCTACCCCAAGGTAATGATTTACCTTCAAGATCTACTTCTATTTTTACAGCAGTAGATTTTGATCTGTTGATATCCAATGCAAAACTTAATTACTTACTTAATGCCTCTTTTATTGGAACATAAGAACTAAGTAAAGGAATCAGCAATCCTAATCCGAGTGACATGAATATTGCATTTGTTGTCGGAGTTGCTTCTATCTCAACTCCAATTGAAGCTTTAAGTGCACTACTAGCATATAATAGGAATGGAATTGAAAGGATAATACCAACAATAATAGCTGGTAAAACATAACTCAAAGCTTGTATCAATACCATGAATACTACTCCTAACTTATTAAAACCTAACACTCTCAACACTCCCAAATCATAAGTCTTTGTTTCTACTGATATCAACAACAATGTATATAAGAGTAATACACTCAATAAAAACAATATTACAATGATCATATTTAATATGATACCCAAAAATAGTTAACCAAATCTAGAATCATATAGTTGTTATAAGACTGGTAAATCCATATTACATGGATAAACTCCCAAATCTCTTCTTATATTACTGGCATATTTTGTTATCTTCCCTTATATATTCTCATAATTGCTATCCATATATATATTGAATCTATCAGGTATATTGATTCTAATTTCATCTACAAAATCTTCAGGATTAGCAGTATACATAGCCTTTAAAAATGGTTTATCCCATGACCAATATGCAAGATTATTAAATAAATGTTTGTGTTCTACAATTATTAATTTATCAGCATCTCCATCTGGAAACTTACCATAAGTTGAATCTAACAAACCTTTAACTTAATACAAATAAAATCTTTAAGTTGCTTTTTTCAAATCTGAAAATTCTTGATTTATAAATGTATCATTGTAATTTGTTAAATTGAATTACTTACCTATTTATTCATAGTAGTTCTCTATATAATATGATGCATAAAAATCATAGAATTCTCCATATATTAACATATAATCTCCTACATTCAATTTATACGTTTCTGCTAATTTCCTACTCATTATGACTTCTGTTTCTTTTAATTCATCAAATGGATATTCCCAACCCAATCCAATTTTTTTCTCTTTTTAAGTATCAATTGCAACAAATTTGGCATTTGGATGTGGTTATACTCCTCCGCATCTCTAACCCAATTACTATCCATCCCTTAAATCATTAAAATGAGCTTCACTTCCGAATTCCTATCTTTTAGATAACAATTATTATGCTTTATTCACAGACTATCAATAAATGATCAATATATACATTCTCACACTCTCCTGTCTTTTACAAATATGTGAAATTAACTTGTTATTCTATTCTAGGACTTGCTTAATCTGCCCTGTCTGGTCCTAATACTTCTTTCACTCTAGTAAAGTTTAGGAAATCAACTATGAGATATCCTTATTGTCTAGCTGAGTTACTATAGATAGACATCAAATATTGAGGAGACTTTTCATGTTCTTCACTTAAATAATTTGGATTTGCCATCAACCTAATCTTAAATTGCTAATTACACTATGTCTGATTATCCTGCTGGACCTTCAGCTGATTTTAAAAATATTAGAGGTGCTCTATCAATTATTGATTAACTAACAGCACTTGCAGCAACCACAATCAAAACACTAAAAAATGATACACAATATCCACAAGGTCTTCTTTTTATTTCATAACATGATTGTCCAATCATGAATAACAAAGATGAACAAATAGACATGGAAGTACCTTAAGGAGCTATAGAGTCTTTTCTCTTAATAGGTTAAGGCTGCATTTATAATTAATTATTAATAATATTAATGAACAATTAAATTCTTAATAAATAGAATACTTATATAATATAATCTTATTATCAATGACAATATTCATAAATGTATACATTAAATAAATATATATTTAAATAAATTTAGTTGAAATTCAAAGAACTTTATCTATGATAAATAGATTTCATTTTATATTTAATATTGTTATGTAACAAAATATTAATATTAATAATGAGTACATTAGCAGCAGCAAGAGCAGATAATTTTTACTTTGGACCTAATTATGATCCAAATTGAGTAATGCTTAAAATATAATATAGGGTAGTCTGATATATTAGAGGAAAATGAAACTTTAAAAAAAACAAAAGCCATCTAGATTAGATTAATATAAAATAAAAAGTGGTCCTAAAATCAGATTTGAAACTCCATTTCATGTTAAATGCTTAAAATGTGGTCATATGATAGCAAAAGGTGTAAGATTTAATGCTGTAAAAAGAGAAGGTAAGATGAAATTTTTTATGATTTACTAAGTGGGTTAATTTCATAGTACAATAATATTGTAATTTTCAATGCTTAGTCCATCTTGTAAAAATACTATTGTTTGTAAGACCGATCCTGAAAATTGTGATTATAATTATACTGAAGAGCAATGAAATGGGTAGAGGATAATTGTTTATATGAGTTTAGTTAAGTACAGAGAAGGCAACAGATATGGAATTCATTCCTGATCCTGAGTAGAAAATTAAAGAGTAATCAAATCCAATGTATAAATTGGAGGTGAGGGAAAAAAGATAAGAAAATTATGAATTAAAGAATTCTATCTAGTGGTAGGATGAATTTACAATAACAAAAATAATTGGAGATATTGAATAAGAAATTCAGTCAAATGCCTACTGCAACTAAAAAAATATTCAAATAGTAATATATGGCAAAGAAAAACAATATCAAATTTTGAAGATTTTATAATTATATTTTTATTTATTTAATAAGATGAATAAGAGTCAACACAGTTCTACACATAAAGTTTTAGGTCCACCTTAGATAATTATGTTTGATGGAGAAGAATCTAGATTTTAAAAAAGAATTTTTAGAGGTTTCAAGTTCCGTATTATTAAGAGCATTCAACTGATAAAATAAAATTTTGTTGGGAACAATCACCTATTCATAAAAAGAATGATTTTAATTTTCAAAAAATCAATTACGTTAATCAATAAGATATGGATGTTCATGTTCGTAATAGTTATCAGTTACCATAAATATATAAACGTAAAAATCAATTAAATAATGAATGCTTTGTTTTATCTCCCTAATTGACTGTTGGTATATTAATAATATATATATATATATTTTAGAATAGGAATAAAAATTTGGGAAATATGCTAAACGATACACTTAGGATTCAGATATATTTTCACTTAAAGTTCCAATAGAAAAACAATACTCTCAACATTCATCTGCATATGGGCAATTTTATTTCTAACCAGAATTTAAACTAACGAAAACTAAACCTGTTTTTAAATATCATACTGCTAAAAGTCAAATTCTTGGCAATTCTAGATTGTAATACATTAAATTAAGGTAAGAAATGGATTGATCCTTCTATATTATACATATATATATATATAAATGATTCTTAATTAATTTTTGAATAATTAATATTATGAAGAATAAAATTTAAATCTTTCATCTTTAATGATACATAGATTCTAATTAATTATTGCTTTTTCTTTATCATAGTGATTAATATTTCCTCTGATTCAACTATCTCATTTTATTTCAATTATTATTCTAATACCGGGGTTGTCTATTGATTGTGGATATTTGATTTCATCTAAGAATTATTTATTCAGCTATTAAAAAGAAAGAAAAAACCAAAGTTCATTTACATTTAACTAAAAACATAAACAAATTATTCAAAGTCAATTACGAGGACCTGATTTTCTTCTCTTAAAGAGAGTACTTTCTTCGAGAGAAAACAAAATTGGAACTTTTCGTTATTGATTATACAATTTATCAAAGACAACTACATATCGTTTTAAATTGTCCTATTTATGTTGCTAAGCATGTACATGTCTCAACACTTGGTCTCTATGTTATTAATCAATTGCTGCTTATTATGGATTATTAAGAAGTTCATCAGTTGCTAATAAATCGACTTCACTTTATTATGAATCATTTTCTGGTGATTTTTCTAATATCTTATTGTTGTCTAACCTGATAATTATAGGAGGTAGAGATTATTAGTTACTAATAGTAAGATCTTATTATAAGTAAGTATTTTATTGCGTTTTTTTAGAATGGCAAACTCCCATTATGAAAGTAAGGAGACTTTCTAATTAATTAAATTATTTTTGAATATATCAAAAGACTATCCATTTGAGTTCTTTATTTGTACTATTATAAAAAGATACAGTTTTTTATTATCACTAAAAGCATCTCCATAGCTTCATAACACACATATAATATAATTCATAATTCCAGAGTTTGCTAAGCATAAATTTGATAATGAAATACAGAGAAAATAAATTCCAAGTTCTTACTAGTTTCTTTTGTAACTCCAGTTTATACATAGTTTTAAATAACAATGTAGGAACAATGAATGGTAATTGATTAGAATACTTGAAATTTAAGATGCAATCAATTATTAAAATTTGGATGCATATATATCTCATAGATTAAAGTATACTTATTTAAGGAACTCTTTAAGAATGAGAATTTTCAATATTTAAAGTCACAGAAGTAAAAAATTATTTAAAGGGAATGCATTTAGAATAATATTAAAAATACAATAGTTAATTAAGATCAGATTTTTGATTTAACTTCATTTCCAAATAGAAGGAATATTGAAGGATGACATTATTATATTTAGATGAATGATGAGTAAAATATTTATTTATGATTGAAAATAAAAGGAGATTTATAACAGTATTAAAAACTAAATAGATTTTGCAAAAATTTGGAATAAGAACCTTTTTATGTATAGAATTAGAATCACAAGTAAATTTTTAATAGGATTTCATAAATGAGTAATATTATGAGAATTGCTCTTTATATAATTGGAAAAATTGTTGAATTTATATTCAACAATTTAGATAATTATTCAAAAGAACTTCCTATTAGTTAATACTTTAATTCAGTTGTAAACAGGAAGGTTACAATTCAATGGTAAACTCTCAATTGACGACTAGGTAAGATTAAAAATTAACAAAAGTATATAAATACAATTACATATTATCATTTAAGAATAATGATAATTATATTTGAATATACATCTAATTATAGCAAATTGTTATAAAGATTATGATAATTCAGAAATAGAAAGTAATGATAGAGAATATATTAATTTCAGATATCATTCAATTACCTATGATTTGACTAAATAATATAATTGTTATTGTGACTTATTTAGAAATAGATTGATATATCAAAATAGATATCATCTTTTTAATAAATTTTCTTTTTAAATTTAAAAACTCTATTGTTGCATGTTCAAAACTTAATGAATATTGTAGGTTCTATTCAATGGATTATATTTATTATTTGAATATCTTTCAAAACTTTGTTCTTTTTTATCAAATATTTCTAAGATAGTTTCTTTCCATCTACTCTTTTAATTTGATCTTTATTGCGAGATTGAGCTTTCTTTAAGTCTACTCTTTTTATCACTTTCGTTTAACTTATTCCAAATTTCATTGGTTCTATCATTCTTAACAGGACTAAACTTCTATTGAAATGTTATCATTTTGGAATCTGAAGTTAATCTCTCTTCTGTCTATTAGGAGAGTGATTATATTCGAATTAACTATCTTTGGGATGACAATAGTAAGGATTTCTATTCATGCACACATATTTTACTATTTACAGAGATTGAGATGGGGCAGTCATAATTTTTTCAATTTCAATTAAGAATTTGCTCAATTCTTCAGGAAAACCTTTTAAGTTCTTTAATTCCTCTTAATATTTAGCCATCAATTAAATTTAAGTTTCCTTTAGATATTTAAAATATAATTACATATTCATTCTCTTACTTTTAGATTTCTAATAATTATTAAGTTTCAAGTGCATTAACTTCATTAATAAGACTATTCTTTTTTTATTCCAAAGCAAGTATTTACTAATTAATATAAATATATACTTTTTGAAATTCTTGACTAATTTCATCTCTTGTAGATTAACACTTCTATTAAAATTAGAATTTTTAATCTTGAATGTCTCTAATGGATTCAAATTTATTTTTAAAACTTTTATCCAATCTTTCCAAATATAATTATACTCTTTCATTCAAAGCAGGAGTAATTTCATTTTTATTTGAAATAGATTCTTTAAATTTCTTAACATCTTTAATTTCAGGGACTTCTTTAGTTTAATCCACTTTTTGAAATTATAAATTGTTTGCATATTTATCTTTTTATTCAAATTTTTCAATCTATTTTTCATTAACAATATCATTAACAAAGTTAGCTTTAGATTCTCTAATTGTTTCAGATTATTTTAAATCGAAATCATTATCCAAATTATGCTCTTCTTAATTCTATTCAATTAATGGAATTATAATTTCTTTAATCACATATTAAATTGCCTCAATAGTATCTGGATCAAGATGGGTTTCATATTAACACTTGGAACAGATAGCTATTTTTACAATATCTTGAGACTCTGGGTTCTATTATTGAGATTGTAAATAATTATAGGCTAAGCAAACGAGACAGAACTTATGATCACAATCTAATTTGACATAATTGTCAGGAGTTGTTTGACATTAAGAGCATGCCACTTCAAAGTTTGTGTCGCTGTCTTGTGTTTCATTCATTTTTAAATTTAATATATATAAAATATGAAAGCATTAACTCATAATTTAACATCCCTATATATATTAGCTTAAAATAATACTCTAAAGTTCTAACAAGAACAATGTTTTCTCCTTTCAAAAGGATTTTCCCCAATTCCTTTGTTGCCTTTGTCTTGCGATCATATTCAACAGCTCTGTCCAACACCAAATTCAAATATTCATCAAAACCCTAAAAAAGGTAGAAGCTCAAATAAATTACGGCCAATTTTCCTTGAATACGAAGATTGTCATTTTCCACTAGCCAAATCTCCAATTAAGTTTTCTCTGTAAATAATGTGAAGAAGGCATGAAGTGGTTGTGTTATTTTCTTTTATGGCTTTCTTTAATACGGGGGATGTTGCATATCTTAATTTAATTAATTAAAATGGCTTCAGCTTTTCCTAAATTGCCTGGTTTTGTACCTACACAAGAATTAGATGTATAATACCAATTTATATTCATTAGAAACCCAACTTCAGAAAGGTCTCAGCTGTTAAACAAGAATAAAACAGAGAAATCGTAACAAATTGAAATACTAATCTAATTATTTTAGAAACAATTGCCAAATAAAGAATATCCAGTACCTCGTAAATAACCAATATAAGTGCCATCATAAACAGGAATGTTCAACCCTGATTATTTAAGCACAACTCATGCTATGCATTTACCAAAAGTATGAATTCTAATCAGTTATATTTATAAGAATTCTAATAATGATTCAGAAGAGCTCTATCAACCAAGTTGGGTCAAGATGGATAGACACGTTCTCAGATTTAGTGGCTTCTTCAAAGAGGCTGTTGTTGAGTCAGCCTTAGAAAATTATAGAATTCGCAAATTAACAATATTTTACTATTTGGAAGACCATTCAATTAGCATTACGGAACCTAAACAAGAAAATAGTGGTGTACCTTAGGGAGCATTCCTTAAAAGATAAAAAGTAAAAACCTCTCGTTAATGATGCTTAAGGTTTTAAGGGCTGATGGTTCAAAAACATTCATTATACCAGAAGACTTTAGAATCAATTAAGATATTGAGATATTTGGTAAAACCATTAGACTTTATGATTGCGATCAATATACAAGAGAATTTTATGAGGTTTTATTATTAAATTAAATTTCTTATAGGGTATTGGATAACCCTAAGAGCAATCATTCACACCATAATCAGATTCATTTGAAACAAAAACTATGACTAAGTATATTCCTCAAAAGGATACAGTTATGAAGGATTATTTGGAACATAAATTAGGAGGAGGGAAAGTTACATCTCAAAAACAATTCTTGGAAAATGATAGAAAAGTATTATGAATCTTTATTACTTTAAGGTTTTAAAATTCTATGTATTTTCTGATATAGAATATGTTTTACATTACTATTTAGCTGATGATACTATAGAAATAAAGGAAATTAATTCAGCTAATTCAGGAAGAGTTCCATTTCCAATGATGTTAAGAAGATAAAAATTACCAAGAAAGTTCTCACTCAATTAACCTGGATAAACTTATGCTGAAGATTTTATTAGACCTTAAGATATTCAATTTGGATAACCATTAATCATATATAATAGAAAATTTATTATCCAAGGTTGCGATCCTTTTACAAGATATTATTATTAAGAAAAATTTAATGTTGATTTTCCTTTGGGTGGCTAGGAAGAATAATAAATAGAATAAAGATCAAGTATTAATTTTAATAATTAGACATTATTATTCCTCCTCATAATGGTATTGGAGATGAGTAAGATTCCTTAGGATATATTTACAGATTATAACCTAAACCACCTAAAAAGGATTTCTTTAAATGGGTTGATAATTAAGTAAATCTAAGATTTTTAGCTATGTTCAATACTACTAAACCTGAAGATAAAGACAGGTATTATATATTTAATATAAATATAGAGTTTTTGTAATAACTTATTTTTTAAATGATGATAGTCTTTTAATATATGAACCAACTGTTAGAAATTCTGGTATATTATTAAATTATATATTTGATAGGTATTCCAGATGGCAAATTTTTAGAGAAAAGAAAATACAAGAATGCTTATAATAATAATGAGTTTTTCTCACCTAAAGATTTGATTGTAGGTAATGAGGTTATTATTAATGGATGGAAATTCTAATTACTGGATTGTGATGAGTTCACTAAAAAATGGTATGCTGATAATTTTAAATGAAATTTATCTATATATTTAATAATAATAATAAATTATTAAGGGAATGGGTAATGGTTAATGCTAATAAACAAATAAAAATAGTGAAGTTAACAAAATTATCACTGAAGAAAATGTTCATTCTGATGAATCAGATCATAATCTTACATCCAAAATTACTGATAGAGTTTATAAAGTTAATTTTGCTAGAAATGAATTAATTTGGAGATTATAATCAATCAATCAAGAAACGTAAAATTTATAAAATATTATAAAGAATAGCTTATTATATGTTACAGAATTAATCTTATCATTGAATAAATATACTATTCAATAATTAAAAACTATGATGATTGGAGCACATAAGACTTATTAAATATTAATTGAAGCTATTATTAAGATGAAACCAGAAAATAATGAAATAGTTCCTATTTTAAGTGAAGAATATAATAATTTTAAACTTTTTTATGAATTACAAGCATAACCAGCTTAATAATTATATTATCGACCTGTTTATAATGAAGACTATGAAATTATTAGAGAAATAAGAGTTAAAAGAATTAGAAATTATGTAATTAAAGAAGATAATATAACAGATATTTAAAAAACATAATAAAGATTATAATATTGGATATAATTGAGTTAAAAAAATCATCCAAATTTATTAAATCTAAGAGCAGCTGTAATTTAAAAAAATATATGTAAATATGTAACTGATTATATTGATGGAATAACATTGGACAAATTTTAAAATAAATATATTTAAAATTAAGATAAAATCAAAATAATGTAATAAATGATTGATGCATTAAAGATGCTGCATTCTTAATAGTTAGTTCATGGAGATATAAAACCTTCAAATTTTATGGTTACTATGCAATAATAAATAATCCTATTAGATCTTGATTAATTAGGAGCAGAGAGACAATCAGCAGATATGACATATTTATATTCATTTAAGAATGAATAATGTCCAACCTTTTAAGGTGATGTATGGTCACTTGGTTTATGTATCTATTCATTATTCTTTGGACAAAGAATAGAAAAAAACTGGACTATTGAAGATTACAAAAGAAGAGACTTTCCTGCTTTTAATATAAGATCTTATGAACCTATTTAATAAATTTTAGATGCTTGTATAATCGATAGTCCAAAAGACATCTGGTACATTAGTACATTAAGTAAGTAATATTGATATATTAATTAAATAAAAAAGTTGAACTACTTATTTAAATAAAATATTTATAAAAATATATATAATGAATATATAATCAATCATCATCAGGTTGAACATCAAATATACTTTTTTGAGGATTTCCATATTATTATTTATATTCTTCAGAGGCACAAGTTTATGCTAATAGGATAAGTAATCTTTCTAATTTAATATGTAATGGTTATTATTGACGTTACTCCCAACTCATATCTGGAGCAGCAGGTAATGAAACTTTCTCAGCAATTCTAGCTATAGCTTCCATAAATTCTACAAAAGTCATTTAAAAGATTCTATCACTTTCTAATTCATCTATTTACAACATCATAGATAAATTAAATGCCTATTATATTTTATTTTAAATACTAAATCTGCATCTCTATCAACAAACTTTTCATCAAATAATCCTGCTTATCCACAAATTTCATGTAATTCATCAAGACACATAAATTTCTTTTATCCTGGTTTTACTTTTTTTATGCTATATCTATTATACACATAATTTAATAAAGTTTTGTAATATTTTAAACAATCATCACATTATTCATTAAAGTATCTTTCATCTCTCCATTTTTATGCATTATATTATTACATGATAGGTCTACATTGATCTAAAATCATTTATACAGAATCAATCATATTATTTGCTTATTTTTATTTCAAATATTTATCATCTGAAACTCTTACTAAAAATTCCATAAATTGATATCTACATAATGCTCTTTCTGGATTTCTATAATTTCCTTTATATTCAATTGAAGCAGCACAAGTTGCAATAAATTTAAGATCCAAATCTGAAAGTTTAAATGTTTTATTATCTACTAATTCTGTTTAAGATGAGAAATCTGTAATTACATTTGATGATATTGACCAAACATCTCCAGATGGATTATATGATGAATACCATTTATATGTTTCTTTAATCATTTTATAATCTTTCCATAATAAATTTTTAACTTCATTAAATTCATCTAGATTTTTTACAACTTTTGATATCTTACTACAACTCCAATCCTTTTCAAAACATTTCCTTAAAAATTCTTCATTTTCAAAACGAAAATCCTTAAACCAAATTGAAATTGGAAAAGACCAAATTCTTTTTTATTTTTTCAATTTAGGTGGAATGTAAATAGGATCTGGAGTTCTTGGTAATACAGAAGTAAGTGCCTTCATTTCTTTTTTATCCATTAATTAAAAATGCTTTAATTTCTTTACAATATTGATATTATCTAATTAACAACTTACATTAATTCCATTCATTTTGAATTTAATTACATGACCAAATTTGATATTTTCATAATTTGCAGCTATCATTTAATTGTCAATTACTGTAAATAGAAATTAAGTTTATCCAGTAGGTATCATTAATGATAATTTATAAGTACCATCATTTCTTTTTGGAATGTAGACTTACTTATATTCTTCAAAATTCATATGTAAAAATAATGGATCACACTCTCCATCTGGAATCCAATCAAAGACTTATTCTTACCATCCTTCACATATCCAACAAACATCTTCATGTCTCTATGTTGTTACTTATTCCAATCCTTTAATCCTTAATGTATCTCCTAAAACCTTTTATTATGCATTATCATCAATTATTAAAAATCCTCTT